ACATAGAAACGTGTAACACCATTTTTGTGGAATACTACTGAGAGCATCAGAAATCCTGCAGAATGGGCCGGTGTTGTTGGTACAGTAACTGCCTATTTTAAGCTAAGAAAGAATTCCTGCCTACTGAAACAGTCTGCCATTAGCTGGAACTGACAGAGGCACTTTTTAAGTGGAAACTGCTTGTTTTCCTCATATTTCTTGGTATTGCTACGGGGCTTCCACCAGAATGCCAGTCTAAGTAACAGGACTTAAAACAGACAGAGGACTTATACAGTACTTAGGAGACAGTTGGACTAGATGATCTTATAGGTCGTTTCCAAGCTTGTGATTCTATGATTCTATGATACTGCACTGAGAATCACCAGAAAGCAGCAGCAATCCAGTGTGGAACAGCAGAAGACAGATTGAGTGCGTTCATTGGGCAGCCTGCCATGTTGGATCATGGAAACCTCACCAGAGAAGTCAAAATGGTGCTTCTCTGGGAATCCTCTGTTGGTAAGGAGGTGGAGCTGGAAGTCTTTCCTTTGCTCTTCGTTGCTAGAAACCAGAAATCCAGCCTCCATCAGATCTTTCTGTAGTGCAGGCAAAACGTACCTGTTTTCATATGAGCAGGTGCATCAGCATTTTTATTACTTATGCAGAAAGAAGCAACTGCAGGCATATCTGTAAAACTTCACTCTAAGTTTAGCATGTAACTTCACAGTATAGTTTAACAGTCAAAATTCACGTTGACATGTATTTCACTAGTCATGGCAGTAGATTTGTTTTGTAACCTTTCTCCTGGTGCTTACAGGGTTAGCATAAAGGAATCCTCTGTAGCCAAATTAGGATCTGTGTGCCGAAGGATTTACAGAATATTTTCACATGCTTATTTTCATCATCGGCAGATATTTGATGAATATGAAGTAAGTAGTTCAATAGTTCAGTTATTGCTGAAATTACAGCTGGGATAATTGTACTGCCTTCTTTTAACACTTACAGAAGATCTGCACTGATGTGAAGTATTCATTACAGTAGATAATGCTTCTATAAGAACTGAAATTCCATGCTGTGATTTAAGTCTCAGGGCCAAATTACACACAGGAAAGTGTGTGTGTTTATTATGAAAAGTCACCTGTTTAGTTAACATATCCAATTGGTTACCCTTTTTTTACCCTTGGTTTTATTCAAGCAAATACTAATTCATCATCTTACTTTCAAGATTCCCAAATGTATTCAAAAGGCTTATAGAAATATTTATTTCCTGATGGCATGTGTTATGCAGGCAGTTAAAGGATTATAATTATAAAACTGCATAAAAGCAGACCAATGAGTGGCACTTCCACAGGTTTGGGTTTTTTTTTTAACCAGGACATAGAAATTAATAGATGAGGAGAGAGCTGCAGGCAGAATGAAATGTTTGCCAACCACTTCAGGTTGCTGGCACAGCTGTGGAATGGCTGTGTTCCCTTTTGGTGGGGATGGTGTATGTAGCAGGAGTTTAATACCTTAAAATCCTTTTCTGGAGAGCAGAGCAGAATTGTGGTGATATTTTAATACATTCTTCCTTAAGTACTGTTAAATTGAGCTATGACCTGAGCAATGAACCAAAACCCCAACTGAAGTTCAAGCTTATAATCGAGTAGTAAAGGGGATGTGTTAAAAGTAGTAGTATAAATCTATCATTTAAGCATTGCTACTTGTTTCTAAGACTTCTAAATCCATTACATAAAAGCAGTTTAATTGTACTTTCCTCGATTGTTTATAATATTCCTTCTCTATATGTATTTTTTCCCCTTTTTTCATCTCCAGAATGAAACTTTCTTGTGTCACCGGTTCACTAAATTTGTGATGAAGTATAATCTGATGTCCAAGGATAACCTGATTGTACCAATTTTGGAAGAAGAAGTGCAAAATTCAGTGGCAGGGGAGAGTGAGGCATGATGGGGATGACTGTACTGAAGCCTGTACTGAATACAGACAAAAAACTACGTACTGTATATATCATTTTAGACACTTCAATCATGTATCCTTATAGCTTTGTTTAGTATACTTTTTGTATGCTGTGTGCATTGCCTTTTAATATGGGAAATACCTTAAGTTATTCATGAGCTGTATATTCATCAACGTGGCACTCATGGTTTTTAAATAAAAGTAGTAGTATCTGTTTATAATGCCTGTTAATAAAAGAATTTACAGTTCTCTAAAATTGCTGCTAAACAATCATTGAATCACAATCCTGAAGAGGACAGATTGGGTGGGGAAAAAGCAAGATTAAGATTACACAGCAAGCCATTTTGTAATACAGTCGCTAGGTTAGTGCAAAGATTTTCACCTTAAATATAGAATTGTGCAGGAAGCTCTTTGCAATGTAGCTTATTCCTAATTTAGCTTTTATTTTTTTAAGATGGCTTTGAAGATTTACTTCTGGTTGTGCATATTCCTGTATGTTTCTATCCAAACACTAAGAGCATTTATAGTGTTAGTAATACCAAAAGGATAATTTTACTATGATATTTAACAGATATATTATTGATATGTGTCTAACTTTCTTTTTCAGCCTGTTCTTTTCTTCTGTAACCAGTGGAGGCCTGTGTGCAGCAGAGGCTGGTTTCTGTCCTGCTAAAGCAGGCTCCTGCTGTTCTCCACTCCACAATTTCTTTAAGAGTAACTGTGGCAAAACCAACACAAACTCAATGGCTTACACCTGTTTATGGCAATGGCTTACAGATTATACCTCACAGAAATATTCTCATTAAGCCACATAACCCACTAGCATAGTCTTTACTTGTATTGTCAGAAAAGAACACTCAAGTACTTGAAAAATTGGACCTGAGTCTAAGAGTTCATCATATTTCCAGTATATGTTGATTTTTCTTTGTTCACCTGGATTACATTGGCAGAAAGATTTGGACTAATGCTTCTGTTCCCTTTTAGACGTTTGTTTCAATTTGTGTTTGCAGCTTTGCAATAACTGACAATTTCCATGAGTGCTGCTTAACTGTGTTTTGTCTAGAATGATAGAACTAAATATTTTAGAGATGAATGTAGCAGACAGATATACTGCTACGTGGGCATGAATGCAGGGTATAAAAGCACTAGTGGTGTTCTTATGTTAAATGAATTTTGCTTATCTGTTTGAAGAGGTAGCCAGTCATTTCTCTTGGAAGTTGTCGGGGGGCTCTGTTATTTCTTTATGCAGGTCACAAGGGGCTAACTAAGCTAGTTTCTGTAAACTGTACTTGGTTTTCTAAGTTATGCTTACTTGGAAGGAAGGGAGTTCACCTATTTAATATTTTTTTTCCTCCATAATACACTAAACATGCCTTAAATTCTATTTTTCTTTACACAAATCAAGCACACCTCAAGCAACTGTACCACCTGGATGTAAAGGGAATTTTAACTATAAGATAATAAAGAGATTAAGCTTATGAACTACTTCAGCAACTGCTTGCTTCAGCAGCTCTTTTGTCTCACGTTTATAGCTGTATTTAACCGTCAGCAGGGCTACTGCATGAGATGTTGTATGAGTGAACGTAGCTGCCTATACAGTTAATTCTAACTTGCCTTTATAGACCAAATAGGTATCTTAAGTTTGTATTAGAGGCAGGAAGACAACTGTATTTTGGAGATGGTAAAATGCATTTAGTTTTGGTACGGTTTGCTGTAGGACCATTCACAGTGTGGTTCTTCTGTGCAGTCACTCCACGTGCTTATATTATCCCAGTGACTGACAGAGGCCAAAACATGTAACTTGTGTTACTGATTCCATTTCCTCGACGCAATTGAAGAAAATGTGGTGCTCAGGACTGCATTAAAGTTTTAAACCTCTTTTCATCCTCTTAACGCTTTAAGGGTCTCACTTCAGAACAAAACTCTGGAAGTTTTAATCCTGTTGATTCTCCTTCAGATTTGCACTGTAAATTGACTTGCTCTCTTTAGCTGATTTTATATACGGCTTAAGTGAAACACTGCTTGTATCTTCCCTTGCTGCTGTTTACATGAGTACTGTGTACACACACGTGCCTGAATGGTACCATAAAACTTAACTCCGCCTAAGGAAGTCATCGGTTTGTCTAGCTAAATACATTAACAGATTTAATTTACCCTCTCCGTAATAGGGAAATGGAAGAACTGTCTTTGGAATATATTGTAAACAAACCAACGGTTAAAATTAAACTGTTACTTTATCCATACCGCTGCATTTTAGTCAGTGATCCTCATTTCTCATGCTGTCCAGGAACGCAGGCAACCGGGTGCTTCCAAGGCAAAGTTCAGTGCTCGCCCATCTTTGCTATCAGGGGTGCTGAACTTGTATTTCTTCTTCCCAAAGTAGATAAATACAATACTCACAAGCATCTAGAAGCTGGACTTCAAATGTATTCATCTCTCAGTTCAGAAAATGCTGGTTCTACAGTTTAAAAGTCATTGAGATTTAGAAAGGACCTTTCAAATACCCAAATGAGCACAACGTTACACGTAGCCCATCACTGATGGAACAGCCTACCACAAGCAGAGGCTTTCACAAGAGGCTTTCTCCTTGTCACTCAGGTTTTCCCCAGTGGTTGTCTTAATGTGTGTTGGATCAGGTCAGCCCCAGCGATTGCACTGCTGAAGTTTTAGATGTCCAAGTTTCTGCTTAAACAGATAAAAACACAGCAGCAGACCCATTTCTGTAAGCAAAGCTGTCCGAAGTTATGCTTTCCTGCAGATTTTTCATCACTAATTCATACCTTTCATCTCAGTTCTCACACAGAAAACAGGCTTGGAAAAAATCAATCTCAGAAATAGCACCTCTCATCCACGATCTAACCCTTAGGGAATTGTCTTAACAGCAACCTGAACTTCTCTTTTTTTAAGCTTCCAGATTAATAGCCTAAGAAGAAAGAAAGCTAATTAGGTTCTAACAGATGATTAAAATTCTACAAACAAGAACCAGCAACAATAACTGAAGGAAGGTATACACTGAACTAATGGATTCAATGCCAATGTGAGACAAACATAATTAAGACATCAATAGCTGATTTGGTAAGTGCTTTTAATGGTGAGAAGCTTCCTCTCAGATATATAAAAAGGAATTTAACATTACACAAAAAACACTGCATTTTATAGAACAGAAACAGAAGTTAAGCAGCAGTTTATTGAGGTATGTAAAAAAAAATTGTTGGGATAAGTATGAGCAGGGCACAGCATTTTTGTTTTTAACAGACTATTTCTCCTGGTTTGCAAACACTTTTAAAAGCATTTCCTATCCAAACAGTTTAAGACTTGAACTACAAACAGTCTTTTGCAGTGCTTTAGGAAGAGCATTAGTGGCTTTCCATCTCCGTGTTTTCTAACAGCTCTAGGGCATTTGTGTTGCCACATACAGGTGAGGGACTCTACTAAACACACAGTTGAAGCCACACTGGAGAACAAATTTGTGAGTTTTTTTTTTTGTTGGAGATTGTATTCGTGCTTTGATTCAATAAAAAGGCCTAAGATAATGAAATACATAAAAGACATTCTTGTAAAATGAAGACTGAGCAGTGTACATAAGTGTATGTAAAGAATTTTACTAACAGGAGCATTTAAAGAAAACTTACCAACAGTCTTACCCTCCCTCACAGCTCTTCTGCTTTACAAACTTTGAATTAACAGAAAAAAGGTGCTAGTAATGTACAACATTAGGAATGGCACACCTCAGTGCTCTAATTTGCGTAAGAGCATAACGAAACACGTAGCTTCAATTAGAATCCCCTCTACAGAAAACGCACCCTCTCCTTTTCACTTCTTCAAATGAGCTGGAAAATCTCTGTTATTAAAAGTTCTGAAAGCTGTCTTTTGTTTTAGAAGCATTTTCAGATATTTCAGCATTTGTGCCCCAACCCAACCCAAGGTGGGTTGATTCTGTGTTCTTTAGGTCATTCACATGCAGCCTTCATACGGACCGAACAAACCCTTTCCTCTGTTTTTAAAAGGTCTTGCAGCAGGAAACCACTCTCTGCTACCCTTCTACAACAGGCCAACTCAGTCCAGCTCTCCCAGAGATGAAGAATAGTAAGTCTAAGGACTAATTAGACCACGTGTTTGTGGTTCAGCGACTTTCAAAGAGAACTGAGTGTGTTTTTTCCTTTCAGGAATTTTTCAGTCACCTTTTAGATTCACGTAGCTTTATGTACAACATCCTGCAGCAGGAGTTGCACAGCCAGCTGAATAAATACTTGTTTCAAACCTTACTACTTACCATTTCCATTATTCCCTTTAGCTCTTGTATTAAAAAAAATGTGCTGAGGAACTTAATCTTTTGCTGCTCTCTCCATGCCATTCCCTTTACACATATCTCTCCTGCAATCTGGCAGGAAACTTTTTTTTTTCCAGGTGAAGAATTGTATTTGGTTGGTTTCCAGTACAGAACCTAAATGTAGCCCTGTGAGGTGAAAGACAGCAGAAAACTAGAAGACAATCTAGATAAACATTACTGCAGAAGGGGCAACTTTGTGCCCTGTGAGACAAATGGCATTATAAACCAAATGAAAATAAACCATTCTGTCCTTAACTGAATACCCATTGCTAAATGAGTTCAGAGAAAGAAATTTAGCATATTTACATATCAATAAATTTACAGAAGTTTGCAGCACAATCAGAACGTATTGAGACTCAAGAGTGAGGACTGAAGTACATTGACAACTCTGAAACAGAGCCACGTTCCTTTTTAGTAGCCTGTTTAAGAAAAGCTTCTCTTGCTAAAAAATGGGAATATTCCAGAATAGACTGGTGGACATCCAGACTGCTCTCTTGCAAAAATGGAATCTCCTGTGTTTATATCCCATCAATCATATGGGAGAAGCTCTTTTAGAAAAAGCATCTGGATACTCGTTGGACTTTTCTGCATTCTCACCACCTGGTGGGAAGAAAAGACCTCCATTAAAAGTTAAATGATTCTTTTTATCCAATAAATGCACTTTGGAAATAGTGGCTGCATTTAAGTTAGTGCTTTACATGTCATAACATAAATAGTTGCGATTTAGTTTTAAGATTCATTAATGTTAACTAATGTGGTAGTCCTTTATAAGGGGTAATTTTTTCTGAAACACGCAGAAAGCTTTTAAACGTATGTTGCCAGTTTTTTGGACCAAATTCTGCTGCTTTTTACAAGTTTGACTTGTATGGAGAACCACCAGCAGTTAAAATTAATGGCACACATGCGAGAGTACTGTGGGCTTTTTTGGATAACTTCTGAAAAACAGTTTCAGGAGTACAGCATCATATTCCAAGCTGCAGAAGACCAACAGCTGTCCCATTTTTAATATGCTGAAATTATTTAGCATTCTGCCAGAGACAGATTTTCCACACGTGTAGCACCATAGAGGAGCTGCCTGCTCTTCCAGGGCCACAACTCAGCGGGCTGCATTAGATGACAGCGCTGGGTGGGGGCACACAGCCACCACTCTCCCCTTCAGCAGGGAGATCCCCTGCACGTTGTCCCAGATGGAAAGAACACGAGGTTTGTGCCCCACATCTGAGAGCTCAAGATGCCAGTGGGAAAGCAGGGAGAGACATTGACAAGGCTGCATTTCTTACTGTGCCTGCTACCCCAGGTTCTTCTGCAGCCCTCCTGCAGCCCCACACTGTGCACAGTGCTCTTGCTACTCCAGCGGCATGGATTTGGCTCTTACAACAGTCACATTCAGAGCTACTTTGCTAAACTGCCACCATTTTTGCTAAGAAACACAAATGAGAGAAAGAAGCTGCACTTGTCAGCAGTGTGCAACAGGAAAATAAGAGTAATTCACGGGCTGTCTCCAGTTCCAGGATTTATGGACAGGGAGAAGAAAACCTCTCTCGCAAACAGTTGTTAGAGCTGCTCTTTTCTACAGTGAAATTGGGAAATAACTCCAAAACGACACCATTTCAAGCTCCCACAACAAACCTCAGACAAGTGAGAAAGCTGTCAGTGTCACCCCAGAAAAATAACTTGCAACAGGACTAAACATCTTTCTTTAGCTTTGCTCTTAGGTTTTTTTAAAAATTAAGCCTTTAGATTTCCATTAGTCTCAACTTCTTACAGACAGCACAGGCAGTAACTAAGTTATGGTATACTATGTAAAAATGCCAATACTGATCTGAGGAAAGAAAATAAATAAATTAGAATTTCTTTTCTTGTGGCTTTTGACTTTCTCCCAACTGTAGTGGCAGAGCAGCTTTGAAGGAAGCTGAACATCAAACCAATTCCTGTGCGCGCCTCTCCTTACAAGAGCCCATCAGAGCTCATCTCTACAGTAAGGATGGAATCCCAGGAACTTCCATCTTGCCCCTGAGCAGCATTCACGGTATCTGATGCAGTTGGATATAGTTTATCCAGTGTGATATTCAGTTAGCAAGGAATTTTTAGAATATATATATATATAATCTGTCAGCGTTTTTGTATCAGGTCTCATGTAACATTGTCTACTTCTTCCCCAATGCATATCATCACTGTCACTGTGCACCTCGCTGTCAGTGTTTCATATACAGCCCCTCAAACTACTTCACAGAATGCAAGTTACCCGACTTAAGTGGCAAGGTTCTGCATTTCCACTCATATTAAGTCATGAATATATCATGCCATTTTCATATACAAAGTGATATACTGAGATAGCTTGGAACATGGGACCTCAGCAAATCCTGCGTAGGTGAGATTGTATTACAAGAACCAACGTCTGCCTACAGCCTTCAGAAATCTTCTGTACATAGCAGGCTGAAGACAGCTTAAATCAACCCTCTATAGCATACGACTTGCATTTCTCCAGGCTTTTGAGTTCAGGCAGAGCAAGTGAAAAGTAAAGTGAAAACATAACAAAATGCAGATAATTCTTCCCCCCCCCCTCATATTTACAAGTCTTAAAAAACAGTAATTAAAAAAAACAGGCAATAACCAGTCCTCCAGCTTGTGGAAAATGCTCAGCATCCACATTCCTTTCTCTCTTACAGAGCACAAAATGTCATTTCTTTTTCTTTTTTTGCAGCTTCTGTTTTCCTATTTATTAAAAATATTAACAACAAGCAGCAGAGCACCCATTTAGGTAGTTATTCTACTGAAGACAGACAGGAAGCCGAATTATTTTGCAGTAGTATTATTACTACAGTAGGATTAGCATAACAAAGAAACAGACACCAACACAAAATGAGTCTGGGAAAAGTCGTAAGCTTACACCAATGCAATGAAAGAAGTACACTGTTTTACACTTGTGTGAATTATGTACACGTCCATCTGATGCAGTTACTTACTTGATCACATACATGTGACCTGAGTGACTCCATCTTCCTGGTCAAATTGTCCATCATCCAGCTCCCTTAATGCTCCATCGCTGCTACCGAAGCCTGAGAAACCCCCATAGTGGGAGGAGGCCTCTTTGACACAGCATTGTTTAGAAGGAGACAGGTGAAACTCATCAGGTGGTTGTCCAATTTCTACAGGGTGAGAAGGAGCAGGGTCTAATCCAACACTTCTGCTAGCAGCTTTGCCTTTTTCCTCCCCAGTAACTTGCTTCAAGGATTTCTTCTGAAATACAGGAGAATGTTTAAACATTAGCTTATGCAGAAAAAAAAGCCAAATGCTTTGCAGCAAGACCTCTGATCTGTCTGGAATTAATGCAAACTGCATTCTAAATAAGGTAGCATTTAACACCAGCTTAAATTATGAACCCCTCTGGAGAAAAATCCCAACAGATACTTTTCTATCCAATATAAATAAATTTTGAGAGAGATGCAAAAGGTACAGCACAGTCAGGATTCAAGGAAGCATACACAAATGGTAAAAAGAAAAAAAAATTATTTCAGCAATATTCAATTCCTATGCAGTACTTCGTAGATCCAGAACGATTTACAAGTCTTACCCCCTGATAAAACCAGCTGTTTGCAGAAAGCCTAACACACATGCCTGACTCTGACTAAAGCAAAACAAAACCAGTACAGCTGTTTGTGCCACGCTCCGGCGAGTTCTTTGTTCCTCCTACACATCTATAATGTTTTTCCCAAACCCTTTTGGAAGAGTAAAAACAATGGCCCTTGAGGCGAAAGGAAATGTATTTAAGGGAAGCTGTTACGGGAGACATCAAGAAATGAGACCAACGGGAAATACTGTTGCCCCAAGAGAAGCAGAAGGAAATAAACTTTGCCTGGATGCCACAGTAAGAGGATGGAAAATCTGCCTGAAAGAAATAAAGAAAAAAGAGAAAACTCTGGAACATGAGTGTGGTTTAACATCAGGTCTCCTCCTGATTCTGATCTGGTTTCTTAGAAAAGCAAATGGTATGTGATGAGGAACCCATCAGCACAATGCAGCCCTTTCAAATCCAAGAGGTGTTTGAACCACAACATAAATCATAATCCAGAGCATATTGCACAGGCCCATGAATATACAAGTAGACAGAGATACGAGGCATGAGGACATAAGATACAGTCTCCTCAGGAAGAGAATATTGGGAATAAAAGACCAGATAACCGAGGATTTCCTCAATTCTTACTGAAACAAAGTTTTTTAGTGTCAATCTACTAATTACAAAAGCAGCAACAAAGCCAACCCTAATTCCACAAAGCAACCCGCATCATGTACTGCCAGCCCCCACAAGGTGAATCACAGTGGACCAAGAGCTGGTACTGCCTGTGGGTCAAAGCCCTGCCATGGCCCCAGCCCACTGTGCTACTCTGCTAAGCGTTTCAGCTCTAGCCTCAACCACCTCTTTATCCCATGCTCAAATGACCTCATCAGACTGAGATTTCCTGGCAGAGAAGTAAAATATTCACTGGTATTTAAGAGGCACATTTAGATCCTATGTCTCCTCAGATTTTAAATGCTGTAATGCTTGTGTAAATGGCTACAAAATCACCTATTTCTTGTTGATTTCCAATATTTTAATGCTTACATCAAAGATTTTCCATTGCAGCAAAACAGTGATCAGAAACATACTCACCATTCTACTGTATAAATAAAGAACATGCAGGTCCAACAACTTCTGAACACCTCGCAATCAGGCCACAGCATTTACACAGCAAGCATAATGCTTCCTCTATTTCTAATTTCAAACACGTCTCAAAGACTCACCAGTTCCTCAGACTGAATGTTTTTACAGAACTGGTTTGTATTACAGCATCTCCTGGCAGAATCCAGTCTTAACCCTTCTAACCTGAGTCATGTAGCTAGGCTGCCTTTCACAAGCTGGTTGCAGTTAGAAACAGCATGTCTTACAGCCACCAAGGAAAGAATATTTGCACCAGGAGACCATATACTTAGTTAAAAAAAAAAAAAAAAGTTCAGAAATATCAGAAAATCTATTTTATTTGATCATAAACCAACATGGTTTTATGCATTTACAATACTGACGCCAACAAAATTATGTTCCAGAAAACGCAGACTACAAAAGCAAGAAAGCCAGGGTCATAAGCTGTGACCATGTGTGGCACATGGGGAGAAAGTGAAGGAAAATTACAAGAGGAACTGGCAGAATTTAGAAGAGGGCATTGGCAATGCACAGCACAGGACAGAGATGAAAAAACTAGCTCAAATTTTGTAGATCAGGAAAACAAATTACAGACAGCATACAAGAACCAGCTAGCAATTAAGGTGGTGATGGAGATGAAAAAGAAAGCAGAATTTTAATTGTGCAAGCTGAAAGCCATTCTTCCAGGATTGGAAGAATAAACTACCATGGGACACAGAGAAAAGGAAGTTAAGCTGGAGATAAGCAGACATCTGGAAGAGAACAAAAAAGAAAGACTGTATTTTAGAAACACTAATCAGAGGAAAACAGTTGACAGTAGCAGTCTGGATAAAAGGTGAAAAGATCAAATAAGAATTTCAGATATTTAGAAACTTATGGAACTAATTATACAGATTGGGAAAGAAGAGGTTAAGTATCATTCCTTCACCAAAGTCTAAAATCATATAAGGCAAAATTTGTAAAGTTTCTATTCCAGTGTTGGCCTAAGTTGAAACACATAAAGCTCTCATAGCTTCTTAAAAGACTGTAACGGGAGAAGAAAGTTAAAGACAGGATAGCCATTAAAAAAAAAAAAACAAAAAAAAAACATAAAGGAAAATGCACTGTGGGATGCATAAAGACTTGGCAAAGAAGAAGCCTCCAGTTTATCCTTCCCTGGCCCTTCCTACTGCACAGCACAACAGGTGCCACAGCTATTGTGAGCTTGTGAGCAGGATGTGACACTTATCAGTTGTTTAATCCTCAAAATACAGCCACCATTACAGCAGCCTCATTCAAAAGGGACAAGGGACTGCAGTGCTACAGCCACAGGCATTCTAAGGCCTGTATTTCTGTCATACATTTTCATGCAGCAATGGCTAACACTCCTTCACTCTGTTAACCTCCAGACTGCAGAATCCATAGTGCAGCTTGAAACTCGTGTTCTTTTACAGGTGTGAAACTGGATGCTTTGGAGGTCAAAATAAAGTGTCATCTTTTTCATAGGCAACAGAGGCAGAGGATTTGAGGCAGCTCACTTAGGAATTCCCTGAGACTTCCACAGAAACAGTTGCAGCACAGCCTGCTTCACCCCCCCAAAAAGCAGTTATTTCTTACTGTATATTGCTACTGTGTGAATTACTCATTTTTTTACTTATCATTTTAATATTGGTGCCATCAGCACGTTACTCACCTCTGGTGTCTGGACAGCAGAATTCCATACAACAGGTCTCTGAAGAAAAACAACTTGCTTTGTGGCCAGATTTCCTTCACTAAAATGTAAAGAAAATGGTTTGAACATTTGAAGACAGTAATATTCACTGTAATACATTCACACGTTTCAGAGTCAATTGCGAATTGCTGCATGAGTCAGGAAAGCACAGACTGCCAAGCATTTACTGCTGTATTAATTCTTAAATAGGTCTGTAATTGTACTGAAAAAAACCAGAAGCACATAGCTGGGTTCACGTACTGCACATGAAAACAAAGTATAAAGTAAGGGGTTATTTGTTCTGGAGTAACAACTGCACTTGAAAGCTTAAGTCCACACGTTTACAGCATCTGAAATTAAATCTCAAAGTCTTTTCATCTGTCTTCGCTGGCAGATGTACAACATGCAACTACCTGTCAGCACCACAAGTACCCTCAATCTTGAGAGCTCCACAGCTCCAAATATCTCAAGACCTTTGTGATATGACATTTGTGAAGTCAGACTCTTCTTTGCTAACTAAAAGGTCCTTTCTGGTTCCAAGGTGACATCTAACTAGGACGGTGGAATAAGCTTGCCACTTCATCACCTATGACTAAAAGGTCTCAGCTCAGTTTAACCTATACATCCTCAATGAGATCAATGCTGCAAACTTTTGTGCATGGGATGGAGAATGGCATAGGATACACAATAGAATAAAGAAGACAAACAGAGGAAAAAAGGGGAATTCAGTTTTTCGCTCTTGAACTTTTACAAATATTGATGCAGCTGCAGAAGTGATCTAAGGCAGCTGCTATTTTATTAAAAAAGACACATGGTTCCTCAAAACCAACTCATGTTCATATCTCAAAACCAGTACATTCTTTTACTATTGGTAATAGTACAATCCTTCTTTACATCCTCTTGAAAATATAAGGCATATGTATTCACCACCTTTCCATCAGAAACACAGGCCAGCAAATTGATCATGTGTCTTGCAGAGCAAGACTGGGGGAATTAGATAAGAATAGCAAGACCAGAGCTCTGATACTGTGTTTTGATAAATTCCCTCATAAAGGAATTATGATAATTATGATAAGTCACAATCTTAACAACCACGTACAGAAGGCTGAACTGATTTGTGCTTCATGCCAGTGCTGGAATGATAGCATGAATTTGTATTTCATGCTAAGGACCTGCTCCAAGAACAACTGGGAATTAAAACGGTTGCAATGGGATCAGGAAGAATTTATTAAGAGCCTCCCCTAGCAGAGGCCCTAAAGTAAGCTCTGAGAAAATACACAAAACAGCAGTACTCCCAGCTGTGCTGAGTTGATCAATAGTGAATTACAGTGACTTTGCCATGGTGTTTGGCTCCTCACAATCTTCTCGATGCAGCTGAGCTCAGGCCATAGTGGGTCTTTGCATATCTTCCTTGGATGAAAAAGAGAACTATCATAAACTACAGCCTATGGTGTAAGCAGGGAAACAGGGCAATGAGCCCATTTGTTTCTTCAGTTTATCATGTTTTCTCTTCTGAGAATCCCTACTTCACTATTCCCATTCATTGAAAGAAAATGAATGTGTTACAGTTCCACACTATAACAAGAAAATCAGTAATCCTGCAAACTTACTCCACTTTGCCAGTTATCTTCCCCAGCCTGGTTGTGCCTATCTTAATAGTAATCAAATGGGAAATCTCTCGTAAGAGACAAGGTTGTGCAGAGTCCCTGCTATGGGGAGATGCCTAAGCCTTCCTTCACAACTGTGTCTGCATTCCTTTAGAGAAAACAAAAAGAAACAAATGTGAAGCTTCCTTCAGCTTGTGCAAGTTCTCCTAGAACAGAGGAAGGACACGATGGTGAGTAGACAATGAGTAAATTAGCAAATGCCTAAGTCTGACCTGATTAAAATGCTGCACACGACAAAGTAGCTATGAGCTTCATTCACAAAGAACTCGATGACAGTGGGGTTTCCAAAGAATTTAAATGAGGAAAAAAATGCTTAGAGCAAGCTACTCCACAGCTTCCCTCACACTTTCTCCTTCCCACTTTGCTTCCTAAATTAGGACATTTTGAAAGCTTAGATTAAGTTGCTTGTGATGACAAACTAATAACTAAGTCAGTGCTTCTGCACTGTATTTGCCTGCTTGCTTTTCTGTGCTAGCAGACACTTTGTGCTGCCCGTTTTCAAGGACTACAGTAATCACTGAGGGGAAATAAAGGTCACTGCTAAGTAAGGCTGCTGAAGCCTTTTCCTGTCCCTTCTTTTACAAGGGATGAAGAGCAACAGAGACTCTTTTGTTAGAACACCACTGTTTTGCTTGTCTGCTTATGCTGTTTGGGCAGCAAACTCTTCATCCAAGGAGCAATCCATCCTCTTCACCTACATGTCTCTCAAAAAAAAATATCTAAGAACAATCATGCTACTTGAATCCAGATAGGACCACAAACAGCCAGGATTTTCACATCTGCTTTTACTTCTGTGCAGAAACCTTTTATATAAGGATCAATTAAGGTTGGACAGCATACCTTGAAAAACGAAGAAAAGGGGCAAGATAAATTCTTTTTAACCAATTCAGTTTATCTGCATTTCCTAAGAGAAATTTTCACACTCTTTTGGAATTGCATTGCATTTGGACTCCCAGTTACGAGGCAAATAGCAGTGGGACAATAAGGCTGATTTGAACCACAACTGTTCCATCAGATACTAATATTAAAAAATACATTTTAATAAAATCTTGCTTTAGACCGTAATCATGCACGAGGTTCTACAAAACCACAGTACTTTTTTTTTCTTTTTTAACTGTAGTAGCACTAGAACACCAACAACATATTTTCTGACACGTTTTTCCCCCCAGTCGCTAGACTTAACATCTAAAAGGAATTCATTTTAGTCGTGCCATACAGCTTCTGAACTTGCAATAATTATGGTCAAATTCTTGTCTTGAAAGCATTTAACCTACAAGTAACAGCTGTATATAAATGTAGGAGGCTCCCTAAGTCTCTTCCATTCTTCCTTGGTCTGATTTGTTGGTTAAAACAAAAAGTATCAAAGATATCAATAGATACAAACATTGCATCATTGGCACTCCAGTTTTTATGTTCCATGTTCCTATATGCCTGGAAAAAACAATCCCTGACAGAAGGCAAGGAACTTGTATGGGTATTATAGCCTGCTAACTGAAACAAAAAAACCCATACTCCAAAACTGTCCTCACTTTTCAAGCAGTGTGGCACAAAAGAAACTCTGCACGCTATCTACTATTGCTCTGTTTGTAACAACAAAGATCACAGTTCTTAAGGAAATATTTCCTGTATCCAGCATGATTCAGCCTGAGGTGGGAACTGAAGGACAAAATAGGCCTACAGACTGCTGCCCATGCCTGAAACGGGACCATGATGCATGACATGCAGTTAGCATGTGGCAGGACACCCCACACAACAGGACATTATTTTATGGAGAAGAACAGCTTTCGGGATGACAGACAACAGAACCACACAGGAAGAGGCTTTAAAGCCTGGAACTTTTCAACCCTTTCCTAACCAGAAGAAAAAAAAAACAAATACAAAAAAACCCAAACAAGAGAAACACCCTGTGCATCACACACCTGTTACAATGAACAAACTTAGTCTGTGGTCACACCTTCTGTCTACAGACAAGCAGCAGGCTTAATGGCAAGGAGCAGATCAGAGAGATCTGCCAATTACCAAAGTTTTGCAATACTTCAGGAGTAGATTAAGACAGAATACACTAAAACATGTAGGCAAATATAAGTGGGCAGCAGGCTGCTCTGCTTACCTACATCTTTTATTCTTGAATAGAATTTTCATTACATATTTTGCACAGTTTTCAGTTTTTAAATAAATGTGAAAACATTAATTTCTCATATCATCTCAACAAATTGTTTACTCTGTTTGTTCAGTGGCTCTGGACCCTGTTCATATTCAGCCTGAGATGTGAGGTCAGAGTTCTCAGTCTCAGAAAGGAACAGCTGTTTGGCAGCAGTAAGTACCCTCCTTTATTCAGCATTTAACTGACATTCCTAGATAATCTGCCAACACAGTAATGGCATCTTTCATATCAGACACATAGTAATCATCTAGGAATTTCCTTCTCTTCTTTAAATTCCAACATCAAGGCCTAAAAATAGCATTCATCAATCAGTCTTTTAAGAATTCTTCATTCCCAATTAGGAATTCTTATTCATGAGCTCTTAGGGTTTTTTTTGGTTTTTGTTTTTTAGGAAACTGGGATAGCTGTGTATTAGATATATCACAACCATTCAGGCCAAATCGCTCTGCAAACTACCAGGCACAAAACAGCGTCATTCTGCTCTGCAACATGGCTGCTCAGGACAGACCCCCCCCCCCCCGCCCTATAAGTCCTTGGGGGATATGCACAGTTACACTGCTTGTGCCATAAAAGAGAACATAAACCTCTCACACCTTGTGACTTACAACCTTTCTATCCCGTTGTCCACTCATGACCTCTCAAAAAGTTCACCTGGATCTGAAGGTTTGCTTCTCGAGCTTTGAGATAGACTACAAGTCTCAGATGTTTATCAGCACTTTGCATCCCTTAAGGCATATGTCCAAAGCCAACACACTTAGATTAGTCTTTAAAAATGAATTGAAAGATAGCAGAATTTTGTTTCATGTTCTGAAAACAACTTCTCTCTGGAATGGGAGCTCTGCAAAGTAAGTTAAGAACTTCGTGTGCTTATGAAGAGAAGAAAAACATACAGCAGCCCTTAATAGCAGAACGCACCAAATTTATTATCTGAATTTCTGCTGCCTTTGCTTGTATCCAGTTGGTTAAAACTATTAAAAAATCCCAACAAAACAAACACACAAAATTAAAAAAAAAAAAAAACAGAAAAAAACCACACAGAAACAAAAGAGGTTCTTTCTGATCAGAAAAACCTCCTTCTCACATGGGTGAGTTTGTTTAATTATTTCATATCACTTCAGCAAAGTTCCATGTACTTGGAGCAGCTCACTTTGAATCTTCCATTCACATCCTTTTTTAGCTGTCTTGATATAATACAGTAAGGTCTGGTTCCAAAGATTGCTGAAGTTACTCAGTCCTTCCATTGTTTTTAATGAGTCCCAAGCTATGTCTCAGTACATTTATTTTTTTCCCCTGAACGTTGGCATTCTTAATCTCTAAAAAAGCCCCCACACCACGTCAGCTTAGCTCAGTGACGTGCTTGCCATTTTTTAGCTTGGTATTATGAATCAAAGAGCAGTGCATTTTCCTTTAAAAAGAAAAAAAAATCTGGAACAAAACAGAGGACCTATGTCTACTATTTTGCTCTTCCTATACCTACAAATGTTTGTTTCTCTGAAGAGATCTGAAGTAACATTATAGCAACAGAATAAGAGAACTGAAATCCAGTACTTTGGTACTCCATGTAAACTGAAACAACATCTGTGTTACAGATGAGAAACAGCTCAATAACTTGCTGGACCAGCACATTCTCCTCCCTAGTTTGTCATATAGTGCATGACTGTCTTGTGACAAAATCATTTCTTACGTAGTCTAAAATAGCCACTGACCAAGGCCCCAAGTTAGTGAGACATTTTGACACTTGCTTAAACATGAAGCGTACGAGTAACCCCATCACTGAGGGCTGGGTGTGTGAGAAAATGGTTACTAAATGAAATACTTTATGCTTATATATTAGCAATGGATTTTACACTTGGGATTCTTGGTGTGAGTTTGAAACTTACTGAAGTTGGTAGTCCTGACTCAGGGTGGTACAAGAAAATCCACCATAATGCTAAACAATTACCAAGTTTTACATGCAGTTAACATTGCTAGCATATTTTTTGCTTTTATATTTCAGTAGACAAAGTAATTGCTTGATAATTCTCTAAGCTGTGCAACTTTGAATATACACCAAGATGCTGCATACCTGTCATGTCGTACAATAGGTGTAGGCAGCACACAGGTCAGGAGCCATCCAAACTCAGCCAACGTGTTCAGTAGAGGTCCATAATCTGTTTTCACTTCACACCCCTACATCAGTAATTACAGAAATTAGTGAAGACACACTGCACAGTTTTCTTTGCATTTCTATACTTAACAAATCACAAACACTCTCAGTTCTAATGTCGTAATTTGTTGTGGTTGGTGCAAAAAGATTTTTCACATTTCAAACAAAGCACTTCGAAAAGCTTAAGACAAGACAAGCTTAGGAAAACAAAGAGGAGAATATGAACTATAGACATGAGTCCTGATTCAGCAAGACACTCAAAACATGCCTCTGTTATATTTATCATGTACATTTGTCATTTGCACATGTCAATTAACCCCCAAAGCAAAACTTTTCAAATAGCAGAAAAGTTTTCACAACTGATACATTTCGTTTTTTATTTCAGATCTGAGTAACAAGCATCTCCCTCGAAATAAATCTAAATAAATCTACTTTTGTAGGTATTAGTCTTGTACCATCTCTTTTCAGGTAAGTAAATGTATTTATTATTGCCTATCTCAAAAGCAAGCCCTTAGCAACCTTCCAGTCATTACTTTAGATGCTACTAATTCATAACAAGCATATTATTTTAACATTTTATTATTAGTTTTATTGCTTTGCCACTCTATATCAGCACATGCAACTTTACTAGAAAAAAAAATTGTGTTCCTATATTTAAAAGAGAAGCCATTCCATATTTACTAAGAGAAGGCCTACAACTGAAAGACCTACTTAATTCATTTACTATCTTTTTTTTTAATCTCACTTCCAGATTTTGCTATTTTCCTTCCTCTTTAAGAATACCTCAGTATGTTGTCTGTGAACCAATACTTGCTGAAATTAAATATACATATTTCATACCCAAATAGATATAAAATAATTAATTTTATTTAGTTGTTGTATTTGCTGGTGTGAACATTTATTAGTATCAGACCAGAACACCAGAACACTGACCAATGATGGCCAGAAGTCTGACTTCATTTTTATGACTCAAAGCTAGTTTTAACTTATCCAGGTGGCTTAAAGAAAGCAGCCTGTAAAGTTTATCAAACACTGGTACAGCAATTCTAAGGATATGAATAAACTGTAAGCAGGAAATTGTACTGCCAAATAATCACCAATTTACCTCAATGACTGTCCATTGTTCAACAACAATTGCATCATTTCCTTTCCTGCTGGAACCTGGAACCCCAGAACCTTCTTCTTCATAGATAAATAATCCTTCTAAAGATCTGGGCAAATGGTCGCCTGTGAACATAAAGACAAACTTAAGCTGAAATACAGATTTTTAGGTCAGAATCTCACTGTGACGTACACATGGGCTTATTTTTTCACTGAAAAATCCTTTAAAGTGAACTAGGAACTCAGATTATGTAACTCCTATATAACATAACTGACATTTCTTTCTGCGTCTAGTTACAACTTCATGAAGCAGGTCAGCCAGCTTGTTATTCAGAACTCCTTTTCCTATACAAATTGAGCTATGAACTGTTTCATTTTCTCAAAAGCAAGTCTAAATTGAAGTTTCCCATATTCAACATATCCCCTGCAGCAGACAGGCACAAAACCTCTTTATTCAACTTCAATACTGTATGTCTGACAATAAATGTGGCTTTTGGTGTGGTGAGAGAGGCTGTGAAGACAAATGAAGCATGAAGTGTAAAGCCTAGCTGCAGTTACTTTAATATGTGAATGGGCGCAGGAAAAGCCTGAAACAGAAGTAATTGTAGGAAGATTCCTGATGGGAAGGAAGTTTGAGAGCCCACCTCCTTCACTTAGTTGTGAAAGTCTAACAGTACAATCACCCCAACTAAAGCTGCACATCAAATATGAGTTCATATTTTGGCTCTTCCCTCACAGTGATGTATGGCTTTGGGCACAGTCATATGAACGCCTGCACAGCTCCTGCTAGTTCAGAAGTACTCCACCTCTTCAGTTCACCAACTTCAGCCATTCTCCAGTACTCAGGCAGATACTAAAAATGGTCAGCCAGAATTTTACTTTCGTCATTGCTCAAACATAACTCTAAATCTTACACCAGGTACCACCATTCAGTGGCTTTTAAGACAAAGCTCCAATTCAAAGCGCATCACGTCCTCCAGGTTATAATTATTGATATCATTAAAAAATGTGCTGCATGTCCTACATACTTCTATGGCTAAGAGACTCTGCAAGGAACAATGGAAGTAAACCAAATGGCTGGTAAAACAGGATTACTCAGATTACTTTTGTGACTGGGTTCTCTTTTGAGAACAGAAGACAGTTAAGAATTATGAGTGATTTGGTTCTAACAAACATCCACCTGTCTTAAATTAGGAATTGAGTTTTGAGAGGAGCGTTTCTGTGGCAGCTCTACCTGCATCTACTGTCTTCATTTTTATTTAACCAATATCTAAAATCTTGCTCAATTCACTAAACTAACGTGGCAGAAAAACTGCTGCTTAAGGTGCCTCACAACTGAAAGCAAACTAAAAAATGGAAGTGAAGACAACTAGATGTATTGCAAACTCAGCAGCTGAAATAATCCTTTACTGTGGTCACAGATACTTGTCAGCTGCAGAACGTGATTCACATGGTGGGCTGTGCCTTCAAATGCACTCAGTTTAATTCAGTAGCATCACACCTATGTGTCAAGCTGAAATCTATACCCGTCCAGTGGGCCTGGAGAAGGAGCACCAACTGCTGCAAGAGGCAGCACGAATCCCTAAGCAAGTCATAACCTGGGTATTAAAGTTGGGAAAGTTACTCACATAGAAAAGAGCAGACAGCAACAGAGGAATGGGAAGATTGCAAAAACTGTTTTTGGAGAACAGCTGCAAAGATTAATTTCAACAGCTGCTGAAAATATCCCATGGTGAATTGTAACTTATCTCCACAGAGTTATTTTGCAGCTCTAAAAAAAAACTGTATTGAAAACCAGTACCATTTCTCACCTCTCCACACTCAAAGTAATCTTGGCTTTTGTACTGACTTTAATAGATGGGAATTTAAATCTAAGAGACCGAAGAGACTGCCAATACAAACTGTGCCATTACATTCTTTATGTGCACAAAATTTGCAATTTGAGAGGGAATAGGTGACAAATTCAATTTGATGGAAATATAATGATCACAGAATCACAGAATTGTAGGGGTTGGAAGGGACCTCCAGAAATCATCGAGTCCAACCCCCCTGCCAAAGCAGGTTCCCTACAGCAGGTCGCACAGGTCGGCATCCAGGCAGGTCTTGAACATCTCCAGTGAAGGAGACTCCACCACCTCCCTGGGCAGCCTGTTCCAGTGCTCCGTCACCTCACTGTAAAGAAGTTCTTGTGCACATTTGTGTGGAACTTCCTATGCTGCAGTTTCCAGCCGTTTCCCCTTGTCCTGTCTCCACTCACCACTGAAAAGAGTCTGGCCTCGCCATTCTGCCCCCCACACCTTAGATATTTATAGACCTGGATCAGGTCCCCTCTCAGTCTCCTTTTCTCAAGGCTGAACAGACCCAGTTCACTCAGCCTTTCCTCATAGGGGAGATGCTCCAGGCCCTTCACCATCTTCGTGGCCCTCCGCTGGACTCTTTCCAAGAGATCCCTGTCTTTTTTGTACTGGGGAGCCCAGAACTGGACGCAGTACTCCAGATGAGGTCTTACCATGATGCTGATGCACTTGCTCCTTCATAGATTCCGATAAGTACTAAATTGACTTTGTTGCTGAGCTAACAGAAATGTAAGTAACAGTTAAAGCTAAGTTACTGAGAAAAAAAAAAAGTTAAGCTCATTCTCTCATGATTTGATTTATGAAGAACACAATATATATAACCTAAAGATCTCATACCTTTTAAAAATTGAACAACATTTATTACAATAGACAATGAATTCTGAAACGATCAACTGTGTCAGACTCCCTTGGACTGTTCACTGAGCACTACAGTATTGCCACTTCCTTAGTAATAATTTCAAGTAACTGCACAATGCTAACTACATATGGTTTCTACAATTCTCGCAACTCCTGACTTCAAGACAAATTCAGTCCTCTTAATCACATTTAGGAACTCTGAAATAGCCAGGAGAACAACTGAGATCAAACTCAGAATGAACAAGGAAATACAAAAATCTGAGGGAAAGTCCTGCAGGCTGAAGCTTTTTATTTGTAACCATTTCTGAATGCTAACTGAGCTTGTACATCTCACAAGGAGGGAGCATCCAGTGTCTTCCCCTCCCAGCTACATGAAAAGATGCTGGAGGATCTCCCTACAGTTGAGAGCAAGAGCAAAGAGCAGATTTCTCTACTCTGTGTATTTGTCCAATTTTGACAGAACAATGTAATGAAAGATGCTGGATCTGAAACTTCAGGATATACAGTCAACACAATTCATGGTTTTGCTAAGAATTTTAAACCTGGCAGAACGCTGAAGAAAGGAGAAATTATTGGAAGCCTTACTTCGACTTTAGGCTTAATGGTACAATAAGCACAATGAGAACTGAAGTTTCTGTATCTCATTAGAAATGTTTCAAGCAAGCAGCAGCAGAACATGTGCAGGAGTGAAACATATCTTATGATTTTTTTCCCATTATCTTTCCCCTTTAAAAAAAAAAAAGAACTAGTGAAAAAAGTTAATTACATTATTATGCTTTGAAAATTGTGAATTTCAATTGCTGTTATTCAGAGTTATAACTGCACAAAACCATTTCCTTTTCAGGCATTAGATTCTACTAACTTACTGTGACTATCCGAACATGTTTACATACTGCCTTTCACCATCATGCAAAACAAGACCTACTTTTTGCACAGTAATTAGATCCACATGAATAAGTAAAAGCTTCAAGGAACTCTGGGATAGTACTCACCTTTAGAAATTTCCCAGTGTACAAAAGAATCAATTAAAGATAATCCTTGTTTGTAATAAAATGTGGTTAGTTCTAGCCAGTCTGCTTCCAGTGTACTGATAACTGGTCCCTTTCTTGTTACTTTCATGGACAAGGTGCCTTCATGATAGGTCCAGCAGGTAGAGTCATCATCAAAAACATTGAAGACTGTATAAAGCTTGTCTAAGAAAAGAAGAAGAAGAAAAAAAAAGAACCTCTAGAAGACAGAGCTTTCAAATAAAGACGTTTTCTTATTCCAGCCTGTTTCTCTAAGTAACAGTTTTACAAATTGTTTCCTGACATGAATGCACTCACCTAGAGCACTAAGCACCAGGAAAAAAAAAAAACAAAAACAAAAGATGAGGCTTTACGAGGGTAAGTTGTGGGGTACTGTACAAATTGGAACATACTGCAGTTGGGTTCTCACCAGACCTTTTGCGTAGGCATATCTTGCAAAAAGGAAAACACAGTAGATTTAAGTGAAAACCCACTGGAAATACACTTTACTTTTGCCAGACATGGAACTCAAGGCTAAAAATATTTGAAGTGACTGCAAAGAAAGATTAAAAAACACGTTCTAAGTTTTTATATATTACAAACACTCGTATTCATTTTTACCATTCTTTTCTGAAGATGACTTAAATACCTGTATAATCAGTGGCCTGCTGGGGTTTTCCACACAGAAACTCATGAGAGCTTGAGTGTATGCAGAACAAACAGAACCTGCATATTCTCAAATGTGCAAAATACCTACCTATTGAGATAGTGCTCTTACAAAAAGGTCAAATATTCATCCAAAATAAAAATTCGAAAAGTCATACTATTTAACTAATCGCTGGTGCTGAGTTACAAAATCTTAGCTAACTGAATGTATTCTAGAAGGAAAGAACAAGATAGACTCATGTCACTGTAGTAGGGAAATAAAACAATTGTTTAAAAAACAAAAAACAAAAAACCAAAGCCCTCATGTTATGTCTGCTACTGCAACTTCTGAGCAGCCTAAATCAACACAGCCCTCTAGAAAGCATAAGCGTTCACAATGCCAAAACAGGGGAACTTGGATGATCCCAGTTAAGATGTCAGTCTCTCTAAGCTCAAGAAATAGTGGGAGAATCCATTCTGTTACAGACAGCAAACTCACTATCTCAGGCTGTAAGGAAAGAGTTAAGCTTTAATGGATCATGCTATAAAGGCTCAGCATGTTGTACGAGAACTGCTTTAATTGAAGTGTTAAAAATAAGAGTGACATTGATTATCTCAGTGCTTAGTCATTATCCTCACAGCCCACCAGCCAGAGAGAGTGCTTAACTCTTTTGCGGGCAAGTGAAAAGACTGCAATTAAACATGTGGCAAATCACAGGTGACCCTATTATCAGTGTAATCTTATGTGCAAGTTTCATATTTCATGCTTTCAATATAGTACTATAATACATTACTTCTTATGAGTTTATGATTCCTTCTTCCTTTCCACATTTTCCTCCTAGCAAATGAGAAGGACCTAGTGCTTTAGCATCAGAAGTCACAGTTTCAGGCAGCATCTTCTACACTACGTACCTTATAGATTCTTGTACAGCTAAATCTTCTACTATAGCAACAACATTTTTCAATGACACTTTTCCTAAGCAACTTTTCAATGCTTCATTTTCTCTAGTGTAAATTCGTTCTGTAACAATTATCCTCTTTGATTTCACGGTCAGTGCATTAGTTGAAGTAATCTCTTTCAAGATACTTCTTGAAGGCATGTTAACTAGAGAGAATCCATTATGAATGGATTTGCTTGCCGTACATTATGCGAGCTGGCCAGAAGCACGTAGAATCACAGCTCTGAATGAATGGGGATCCCCTCATTGTCACTTTAAAACAGACAGGAGGACTCGGACCATTATAGTGTATTTTTAGATGCTTATTACAAGCTTAGGGTCAATATTAAGACAAGGTGAAAACCAACATATTTGGAAATAGCTTTAAAAGCATCCGCATCACATTTTTCCTGCCACGTTTGCTACACATATATCAAGCAAAAAAGTTACCTGTTTGCACCGCACTTAGAACCAGGGCCTTTTTAAAAAAAATCTAAATATTACCATAGTTCACATATATAAAGCAGGAAGTAATGACTTTCTAAAAAAGTATGGAAGCATTTAGGAAAGATGTATCTTCCAAAAACAGTATTTGATGACAGGATATGCTGTTTTATTCTACACCTTTTTAAAACAACACCCTATCTTATTTCTGCCACAAAAAAAAAGCATTCCTTACCATTTCCTTTTCGTGGTTTAATAGGGCTGACTTCTTTTCCAAACTGGAAATCTGCATCCTGTAACAGTCCGCTATCTGCTTGCATTTCCTCTTCATTCCCACTCTCAGATAGGTTATCACACAGTGACTTTTCATTCCAGTTTCTATAGTCATCATCGGAACTTTTTCTTCTGTGTTCCCTATTTCTTCTGCCCAGCGTCGATTCCAGCTCTGCATTCCCATCTGTGCTTGCTCCATTACAGGCTTTAATTTGAGGAAAATGTTGTGTTACAAATCCCACAAACTTCCTTCCTCTTTTAGCTGTTTCATTAACCTGCATTTAAAACCAAAATTTACCTGTAAAGCTGTTTTAAGACACTGTGCCACACATTAAAAAACAATGTAGTGTATATTACTATAATACACATTTTACTTAGTAAACTGCTGATTTTCAAGGAGATGTGGGGTTCCAGTGTTGCACTACAGAAGGGTAGCTTGTCTATGTAAATTGTCTATGTCTTTCAAGTAAATAGAAGCCTTCCAGCATGTATTTGGGCTCAGGCCAAGAAGGACAGCCAACACTGCTACTGACTTCAGTGTACACAGAATGCTTCAATAAGCACAAACCCAAAGATTTTTTTTCACCTCTCTGCATCCCAGTGACACACAGCATGCTGGTGCAATAAGCAGTATGGTACTTCTGAACTCGTGTGAAGTCAGTCACTCTAAGACTACTAACTCTTCACTCTGCTTTTAGCCAGGGGTGTTTTTCCCTCTCCTGGGGTCCCCAAAGACAACTGCACAGTATGTGCAATCAGTAGGAAGTATCTGTTCTTGGAAGCAGGGTTTTTCTTTTCTTTTGCTGGGATAAAGAGCATTTCCTCTTACTGCAATAAAGACTTGACAAAAACACAGGGAAACCCCAGCCCCAAAAGAAGTAATCATTTGTGAAGCACTCAGTGAGGGCAGACAGGGAAAGATCTCTACCTAGGTAACTATGGAAACTATTTTATTCAGAATGATTAATTCTCTAACCACTGGAGGTACTACAAGATCATTTAGGTATCACAACAGTATTACAGTTTATCACCATTATGTATGCATGCACAGCAATGATCTGCACATGTACCTGCAATCATTAGGGAAAAAAACTTATTTTTTCTTGTTTTTGAGATCTTGAAAAACGTGTATGTAAGTTTACAACGGATTCCTCCCTCATCTTTTTAAAAACACCAGGAACATCAATTTTTCTGTAGCTCTTCTCTTCTACATTTCCTTGCAAGACTGAGTCACTACTTAATTTTAAGCATTTTTTCCCCCACTACTAACGTGGCAATAGGCACATCATATAAATGCATAATGAAACAAATCCCAATTTTTAACTCCTGAAGATTTCAAAAAAAGCCATTTAGAAACTTGAAAGAACTCTGCTAATTTCAGTGATCATTCAAGTATTTCCAATATTTTTACTCTGCTTCCTTCTTTGACAACTGATGAAAAGATAACTCTTACAATAACAACAATTTCCTGTTTAAGCGAGTCTTCAATTTTGCAGAGGAAGTGAAACAAAAATAAGTGGAACTGGAGTTTCATTTCAGTGGAAGTTCAGTTTTCTGTAATTTACAATGTTTTCAGAAGCTCTGCCAACTAAACGTTGTAATATAATTACTGAACCTATTAGATTTTGCTCAAAGAAAGATGTACTTAGAAAAAAATCAATAAATTCACTGGAGGTATTTCTAATGAACTTTACACAGAATACAATCAAACGAGGTTGAAAACAAAACAAAACAAAACAACAACCACCTAACTCAAGGAAAAACTACGAAGCAAGCGATTTACCACGACTGACCCAAAGTTTGGGCCTGATTCTGCAGTTCTGCTTGCAGTGCTCTCAGCAGCTATTCTCCCAAAGCTTTCCAGGTCTAAATAATAAATTCTAAGTTAGAAAATCAGTGAAGAAAATGATCTCTCTGCATAAAGGAAACACTTCTAAAAAGTAAAACCAAAAGCTAAAGCTCAGAGACAGCTAAAATCAACACAAACAAATCTGTCATTTGCTAATCCTCAGCTATTTACATGCACCCTAGAAAAAAAATCCAAGGAGAAGTTTGAAAAAAAAAAAAAATACCCAAAAGCACAACTCACCACCACAAAATATAACAAACAAGAACCCACAAAATTCCATTACCTTTTCTAACAGTTCTTTCACTACCTCATTTGTCAGTGTTTCACATGTTAAAGGACATTCCTCAATCACTAGCCTGGGGTTCCTTTGTCCTCTGGGTGCTGCATGCTTCTGGCTAGAACACAGAAAGAAAGCAGGCTTTGTCAGTAGTTTGCTGCTAACTTGGGCAAATACAGAATTCTTTTCTTCTGGTATAAAAGCTATAAAATGAATCCTGGAAACATTTTTTCATATTTAAACTCCATATTTTTTTGTGTTTTGCTCTACTTCTTACACACAGTAAGTTGCTATTTTGTACTTCAACATCAGGATAAAAATATATTTTATATAGAAATTTCATTTGAAGATCATTTTTAGACATCTTCTGAAACTCAGCTTTGAAATGGTAATTTTACACTATTAATATGCTGTTGATTAATTTTAGCAATCAAAGCAGCTACATTATCAAACAACAGCCCAGGCACATGTTAGAAATCAGTGTAGTCACAAGTACTTTGGGTTACACAATGTTAACTTCACTCCTAGGTTTCAGAACCCTAAAAGCTTCCATTACAGAGTAGCATTAATCATTTTTTATCTTAAGTCAGTTACGCTGTTAATCACACAACGTTTGGTGCATATCATCTATATAAGGAGACCATCTTAGCTGATGATCCCATTACATAAGCCCCTGCCTTAGAATGAAGCATCAGTGAGATTTTTCAAAGGTTTCCTTCCAGTTAGTGGCTGGACAAGCTGCATCTGCATTCAAGAAATCCAACAGAGGTACATATGGCATCAGCACAGGAGGCTGAGAACTTACACCTAACAGTTTAGAGGAGATTGCAGGTTCTTGTCCCTCACCTGTTCCCAGGGCCCACCAGTTCAAATGACAGCTTCATAAGGATCCCACATCAGCAGGGCTAAGATGTGCTGAGGGAGCTGAGCATAGGCAGCCTCAGCTCTTGGAAACCTCAGCTTCACAAAGCAAATTTTTTTTCTTCAAGCATTTGTCCACACAGACAACATTCACCCTGTTTGTAGGTGAATTTATGAAGTTGTATCAGCTATGGGTGATGCTTGCTTATATAAAGCATTTGACCAAAGAAAGGTCCCTCAAATGAGCCATGTTTTGTAGAACTCCAAGAGTCACATTTCTGCAGACTTTCAGAAGCAGCTGGAAGAACCTTTGTGCATCGTACTAGAACAGATAGAAGGGGAAGCATGACACCTCTTAATGCAAAAACAAAACTGACCCTTCTAGCTATTCAAATTAAGAACAGAAGGTTGCTTTCCTTGCAATTAAAGGAACATTTCTTTATACCTTTTCTTAATGATCACATGTTGATTATAATTCAGTGAAAACATGAGTAATATATAAGATTATGTACCTGGAATGAAAACAAAGTCTTGAATCTCTTTTGCTGTAGCAAACAAGTTTTGTATGGCCTCCCCACTCACAATCATATAACACAGAATGGCTTGGGTTGGAGGGTTAGGGTTAGGTTATCAGGTTCCAACCCCCTGCCACAGGCAGGGCCACCAAACTCCAGATCTGGTACTTGACCAGGTTGCCCAGGGCCCCATCCTGAGCAACCTGGTCACAGAGAGCCTCCTCCTTAGTAAGAAGGATCACCTACTTCTCTTTGAGGAACTGTATTTCACCTACGGACAAGAAATGATCTTACAGAACAAATGAAAAGACAAACTTAAAAAAACAAAGAAGAAAATACAGATGTGAGAGAATTGAAGCAGGTTATTAGTCTCCTGGCATTTTGTTTGATCTTTTACTTGTTGCAGGCTCTAAGACATGGTTCTTTATTATGAGTGTACTAAAAATAAAAGGGGCAAATTTTAACAATCTCTCCACAAATTCATTTTAAAATTCCATTATAATTACCATAAGCAAATTTAGATTTGTTTTAAAGTTAACTGAAGTAAACATTCACCTATTATACACTTACGGTTAATTAAAAAAATATTATTGAGTTGGTCACCTTTCCAGATAGGGAACAGTTACTTGGTTCTTTGAGGTACTCTAAAAGCACGTGTGCTGAGCAACCCTCTTACAAGCACTGGGGCAAAATAATAAAATTATTTCATTGTTACCTTAATTTTAATCGTGAAAGTACCACCCGATACATGTGACTTGCAGGGAAATTTCTTCTATGTCCAATTGGCAGCAGAATAGGATGAACAGCTCCTACAACATATCCTTTGTTGTAATATTCTTCTACCTTAGATGCTATATCCAACACAGAACTGATCCTGATAACTTCTGGATTAGAGGAAGCTAAAATCATTGAAAGGATAGAAGAGAAACACGTTATGCTATGGACACACATACTCCTAAGAGAGTTTCTATTATTTAAAACATACAAATCCTATCCCAAGGTGCCTACTAAAAATATGTCGTACACGGCTGATTACTAAGTGCACAGCTAGGTGAAATACATGTATTTACAAATAAACATGATAATAAACATGATCTATTTAGCAATACTTCACCGGATATAGCTTTGTCAAGCTAATTTAAAAGCTGCATCAACACCAAAATATGCAATAGGTCTGAATACTAAAGCAACTATTTTGTCTAGACAGAGCCTTAACCATATTGCAGAACCCTCTGAATCCCTGTTGAGAGGTAAATTTCCACAGAACTAATGTAAGCCTACAACAATTGGTTTCTCCTCTTCAAATACTTTTTTTTTTGATCTCTTAGAAGTGATTTGTGGATTGCAGGTTGACATTTTAACATAGTCCCAATTACAGTTTTCAAGTAGACTTAAATTGATGTCACAATAAGCTATGTGCTGTCACTAATTGCCAAGCAGGATCCATCTGAGGGTATGCAAGCATTTCTGATTAGTAGGTTAACAGCACACAGGAGTTGGAAAAAGCTTTTGAACAGTCTTGTCCACAACTTTTGCATAGAGAAAAGAAACATTCTGCACTGTCAATAGCTCATGTATTTTGCCATAGTATTGAAGAACTAAAGAACTATGCTACAGCAATGCAAACACAGAAAAAAAGCAGTTGAGTGCAACATTATCATCATTTCAGAGATTTTCCAATTGCCTTAACCATTAAAGATCATTTACTTCCCAATATGTAACCAAAATACTCATACAAATAACAGAACTACAGCTAACGTGCAAATTGTATAATAAGCTTTAGAAGCACCTACTGAAGATGATGACAGAACAGCTACTCCACACATATTCATACACTCTGTTGTTCAGAGTGACAACAACTTAAAGCATGTCATTGTCATGGGCCGACATGACATACCCTTGCCTCAATATTCTTTCTCCTCCCTAGTAGGAGGGTTCTGGAAAAGCCTTAAGCATTCTGCTGGAAAAGCCTTAAGCATTCTGCTGGAAAAGGAATGTTTAGCTTAGCCCTAAATCATGCATAAGCTGACCTCCAGTTGCTTCTGAATCTGAGATATGCCTCATGATTGAAACTATGGAATTTGCAGTCCTTGACAGGCATTTCAAATTACACTTTGGAGTTCACTGCTCCCCAGCAAAATGAAAGACTGGCTGTAATGTTTCTTGCTGGGGATTCCCCTGGTGCAGGGGTACCTCCATGGAACTCAGAGCTGATTCAGGCAGTAGGAACATGGGAATATTGGAGGGAACAAGAAAGTACAAGAGACAAGGTAAGATACACTGCTCACAACAAATTAAGATGCTCAGAAATGCCATCCAGAATATGTAGACTGCAGTATGGTAGATCTAATCTACATCATGGCTAGCGAGAAGATCAGGGACTCCTGCCAGTCTCTCAAATAGGCCTATTCCAACTTCATGCATCTCAAATCCAATGAAGCAGAGAATAAGGAACATAAAGCTGAAATAAAATGAGTTTATCCTTGGAGTACTTTCATATTAATGCAGGCTATTGCTTACTGTAGACCTTAACAAGGAAGGACATTCAGTTCAATTAAGGTTTTTTTTTTCTTTTTCTTCTTTTTTTTTTATTTGGTTCCAGATCCAATGGTAACACGTCACATAAGGGGAAGACCTTGCTCTGGAAATCACCAGAGCATCATGAAGATATAACACACAACTTGACAGCCTAGTGAAAACTAAGCTTGGTCTGCAGTGACAAAAAGCTCGCTCTTTAAGTTGCATTTAGTCCAAGGATACTGGAATAGCAACAAGCACGCAAATGAGTTGAATGGGTTAAAAGGAAAGAGTAGTTCAACTTATTTTCTACAGTGCTTCAGCCAATCCTCATGTTTTATACGCAAGCAACATTCAGAAATGCCTCCAAGAAAGACTTTACAGACCACTTTTACCTGTTTTCACGATTTTAGCTGTTGAGAGGCTTCAAAACAAAGACCCTCAGTGTTACATACGTGCACATAGCTAAAACCATTCAACAGAACCACATGTACGTTCACAAATCCAATTGCTTGCAGTTAGTACTTACAACCAAGCAACCATCTAATCTTAATATCACAGTAAGTTACAGAAGCTAAGCACTTCTGAATAACGGACTAAAAAGGAGAAAGTAAATCTTTGCCACTGGAAAGGCTGCTAAAATACTTTGAAGAGAAACCTTTATTTGCAGTTCTCATTGCAATTTCTCCTTAAAGCCTCGATGTTCTTTAAAGCAGATCCTTTACACAACACTTCCAAAAGCTTGTTACTTCAAAACACAGCTAAGCTATTCAGGACACAAACTACTGAAAAATATTAAATGCATGTAAGTATAAAAAAACTGAACTCTATTGTCCTTCCTATTATCAGTAGGTCAGTAGGCAATTCATGTATGCATTCAAGTCCATCTTCATTTCCAGCAAGTTACCTAGTACTACCTATCTACCCAAAGCTTTGTTTATCCCAAAAGAATAAACCAATGAGAACCTCATCTGTCTATGAGTAAATAAACAGAGCAATAAATACATACAGTATACATAAGTACTACAACTTAGTAGAACATTGCTTCAGGTAGTTCTTGTAGTTCTTCAGGGAACACATTGATAAATTTTAATAAAAACATTACTACAATCCTTTAATTTGGGAAGAAAACTAAGCAGAGATTAAGTTTTGTTTGTGAAAAAGTTCCCGAACATGTAACAAGGCATGTGCTTACACTTCCTCCCTTTATCAAATCCCTCTATCTAGAACATTCACTATAATTACTTAATATTAAGAATTTCCAGTAGATTGGATGGTTATAAAATGCAAGTTAACAAAAAAGTGGCTGCAAAACTGAGCTGCCTGCTCTGAGAGGGCAGCCATCTGGGCTTGTTTATGTTTTCAACTTTCTGGAAACAGGGAGTTGCTCTGTTAGAGACAGGACACCCTCGGGAAGGAAGTATCCCACAGAGCACTGTCTGCCTCCAGCTATGCATACAAATTTTGTTTCATTTTGGTCACAATTTCAAAAGCCTATTCAGCAACTAGAAATGAAGCACTTGCAGAAAAAAGCCCAAGAAAACTATAATACTCTTAAAAGACCTACCAAAAGCCTGGGATGTACCTCAGAGGAAAGTATTCCCTGTACAAACTAAGGAATAGACTTTCTCTTGCACAAAGTAACAAAGACAATGACAGCCTGTTTTCCAAATTTGAATGCATTTTAAGACAATGTTTCCTCAGTTAAGGCATCCTGCTCTCCTTACTGAGGCACAGCATATTTTCTGAACAGTTGCACTAAATTCAGACAACCATTACTCAAAGTGAGTAAGGATGGCAGTGGCTGACTCACAGGAAACTAGGAAAATCTCTAGCAGTTTTCAGCCAGCTTCCCAACAAGGACAGTTGTGTAACTCAGACAGTTTGGTTGTTAAAAATACTTTGGTAGTTTCCACTGTAATTTTATCTAAGTGAAACCTTCGTCACGATTTGCGTTTCAAAATAAAAGTCTTACATTTTGGCTGGCTTTGATTAAAATAACAGATTTACTACAACTCAGACACAACAGAACAAAGTTAAATTCTATTTCCTACTTTCTCAGAATAGCAAAGCCGTAACGTAAGAATTACCTTCTAAAGTAAAATCCAGCAACACATATTCATAAGCAGAATCAGTCTTTGTTTCAACTTGTGGTCGCTTCAATGTAGAAAAAATTTTTCCAGGGCTGCTATCATCTGGGTCTTCCAGCTTTCTCAGTCCGCACCCCATGGTAAGATCTGCAAGTGATTAAATCGCAGGAGAAGGAGGGGGGGAGCAACGAGATCTGCTGCTCTCACTAAAAACAAAACAAAAAAACCCACCAAAAAACAGTAACCAAGAGATTCCCTTTGATTTTGTTTTCTATGAGCTGTAAATCCAAATACAGAAAAAGTCTGTCTCCCGAAACAAAAAGTGGAGGCACTTCCCATTCATTTTTTATATATAAATAGCAAATCCATCATGATTTCAAGCCATAAACTTAGTTCGAGTAGGCTTGATTTCTGCAGCAACGTTAAAACTGCTACAAGCTAGCAGAGATTTTCCATGCCACGTCAATTTACAGCCAGCCCCCTATCAGTGCTCTCTCGCAGAGGACACCAATAGTGCTTTGTTTGTCCTTCTAGACCGACTGAGTAAGAAGGAGGGGCGGCGAGTGTGGGGGGGTGGGAAGTAAAAGAACTGAAAAAGAAAGTTAGAGAAACTTGTATGTGTGTAATTACTTACCTCCAGAAGGAGTACCCAAATGCAGTAGCAAGTCAGAGGAAAAAAAGCAAGTTAGTCAGAATGAAAGAATGAGAAAAAGAGCCTCAACATGGTTGGAGACGAAAATCATTTCCAGAAAGGAAGTCAGCTTCAAGAGGAAATTGCTTCTGGCATCTCAAAGGGCAGAAAAGTAAATGAAAAGCAGTTTAGTCTTTATTTTAGATTTCCAAGTTTGGTTCCTATTTCCTTTTCACAGAAACTTTCTTCCAGAGGGAGAAAAACACAAACATACGGTAATAACGTAAAAATGTTGTGAAGAAGCCTCATATCAAGAAAATCATGAAAATATGATTATGATAAAGCATATACATCCCTAAGACCAACTTACATAACAGGATTTGAGAAACACTGAAAAGTAACTCTGGCATTCACTTCAGGTCAGAGGGACCTTTTCAAGCTAATATGAACATAATTACAAGACCGCCTGCCCCACTTTTCGTGAGTATTGAACAACTGAAGTCCTCTTCGCTGTCAGGCTGACCTTGGCTGAATAACTGCATGCACTCAGCACTGCTCCCTAAGCATCTTTTTCCGACAAGTGCTGAAAATTTAGAACAATTCCAAAGGCTCAGAATACATTTAATTAAAAAATAAACAAAATAAGAAAAAAAGAGGGAAAAAAATACCAACCAACACCTAATGTAAGCCCTCATTATTCTTACATTAACTACTGCAATCACTTGTAGTTGCATTACACCTGATGCAGACCACAATAACACATGGAGACAAAAGGAATGGTGAGTGATTTTTCAGGGCTCTGGTACTGCAGGGATGGGCAGGAAAAGAATTTTCATTATTTATTTTTGGACTACATGTAGAATAATTCAGTCCAAGCCGGAGATTCACAATGCCATTTTGGATTAAAGGAATCGTGAATTTCAATTTTAAAAGCTTTTAAATAATTCTCCCTGAAGAAAAGCGATCTCATCAAAATGGCTCACCTTTTCTACAACCACTGTGATTTAGACAAACCATTTTTTGTTTTCTCCCTGCTCTAATGTAAACCAAATGATGTCACTTTATTATTAACATTATTATTTAAAGTAGCTTATCAGGAGTAATAAGGGGGCAGACTACACTGGCTCTGAAATCTATGCTGTACTCCAAATTTACTTATTCTGGAATAACTTAAGTCACTGAGCATGGAATCTATGCAGTATCACCGGTTCAGTCTTACAGCCTTTAAAGCAAATCCCCAGGTGCCAAAACCAAGAAGAGATCCTTGCCCTTTCTTCTGATTAAAACCTAGAAAAACATACCAACTAAGCAGTGGAGCTCTTCAGCTTCCTGCATGACTGTTTACACAAGGACCACTTCCAAACAGATTTTCCTTTTCCCCCAGAAAAGGTAATCCATGACCCGTTGCTATCCCAAACAGACATGTAAGGGTCTATTCAACCTGGAGAATCCTGCTGTCCAATTCCACAAGGATCTTGTAACCTCCTGTACAAAGACATGGTGACAGCTAAAATAGCAACAACTGAAAAGCTTTCTGCAGCAAGAAACCAGCTGACACCTGGATTTTACTTTAACTAAAGCTATCTTTGCATTTAATGAGGCCAGTACTCAGTCATTTGAGCCTTTGCAGCAAGGCTCAAAACTGTATATCCCAACTCTCTCTCCAAGACACGGTTTTTCACAGTATCAACAAACTCTCTGGACACCAATGCAGAAACACTGTGATGGATGAAAATGACGCTCTTTACTTTAGGTAACACTGGCTTAGTCAAGTAGCTACAAGCTTCCAAATTGAAAGTCAGTCAATAGCTATCATTGAAGACTTGACTCAAGAGTTGTTAGACTGAACCAATGAAATGATGTTGATGGGAGAGAAACAAGTTCCTTTGATTCCTGGCTATGAGAGGTGCTGCTGGAACTGTTTTGCTGTTGAAAATGTTCACCTTGCAACAAGGTACTGCAACAAACCTGCCCATTTCCAGTGATCAAAATGCAAAGTCTCTGGCAAGTGGCACTAGAAAAGAAGAGATTGCTCATCACACTGATTCACAGCAAGTCCCACAAAAAAAGAGTGCGAGACTCAGTCATCCAACCTCAGTATCATTTTGAGACCTTTCAAAGGGAAAAGACAGGCAGCACAAGCAAATGATGGACACGTTAATTCTAAGCAACTACGCTTCTGTGGAAGGCTCTCAGGGTCCTGTAAGTGCTTTCATTCTGATGAAATGGGAAAATGCTACAAAGATGGACTCATAAGAAGGCTTATAGAATTTGCTAGTTGTATTGCCAATCACGGGAAATTATTCCTCCCCAACCATATGATTTATAACTGGCTGACACCGAGAAAACTTTTTAGCCTGCCTGGTCACCACTGGGACAAAACCATCACCATCTAACTGCACCTTGTGAGAACATCATTCACTCAAACATTTGAGCTGGTTAGCTTACCTGGAGTAAATTCAGCTGCACAGTCTTTGGAGATCTGCTTCCATTCTGGAGGTTAGAGTTGCATTCTTCAGAAATAAAAATACCTTAAAACTGTACCAACTCCCTACAGAATAAATCACTGCCATTTATTAAGATTTCACTAGGACAACTAGCAAGAAAAGAAAGTTAATTCTTAATTTGACAAAGTAAAGATGTAAAATAACGTTTGCACCAGCTGTAGCTATAATTCCCTGTGTCTGCAGCTTACAAAGGTGAGCTTCCTGGAATGGACTGCCCAGGGAGGTGGTGGAATCACCGAGCCTGGGGGTGTTCAAGGAAAGACTGGATGTTGTGTTGAGGGACATGGTTTAGTAGGAGCTATTGGGAATAGGTGAACGGTTGGACTGGGTGATCTTTTAGGTCTTTTCCAACCTTAGTGATTCTATGATTCTATGATTCTATGATTCTACATCTTTGTATTTAACAGCAACACTAAGGCATATTAGCATCATCACCTGCGACACAGCAGCCATCTCTGACGCAGCTCTTAGCAGATGACAGAAATATTAGTAAGATTCAGGAGGATGGACTGCAAACTAGAACTAAATCATTCAACACTTGAGGTTAGCCGAACACTTACAGAAATGAAAAAATAATGCACTTCACAGCTCTTCTGTGTATTTCTCTTCAGGCTTACTTCCCTTGTTTTATGACTCCAGATAAAAAGTAAAGGTTTTGCTTGGGAAAGGGCAGAAGGAGAATAGAGAAGAAAGGAAAAAAAGTTAAAAAAAAAAATTGCATTCCCAACTTCAAGAACTGTAACTAAAACAAAGCACTGGCACTTAGCAGTTCTTTTTCTGCAAAATGATTTGATAGTCTTTTGTCTATAACTTACATAGAAATTTTGTGAAGAAATCATTTTGAAGTCTTCTCGGCCACCCTCCTCCCCCCTTTTAATGCACCTCTTTTCTTCTTCCTTTGCAGGAATAATTTTGAAAATAAAACAGGAACTACAGCCTTGTCAGAGCAGAACAGCCAGCTCTTCTGGATTAATATTTACCTTCATAATCTAAGAAGTTTGATCAGATAGATGACAACAATGGTTTATTTTAATGACTGCAGAAGCACAGTTTAATGACAACAGCTCATCAGTTCCATTCTTAACATTTTTCTATAACTGTTTAAATTACTCATCTGTGCTACAATAAACAAAAAATGACAATTAAAACAGTAGATAGGGACCAATGTATATACATTAAACTCCCAGTTACCAAACCAGAACTTTGTGAAATGCTAAAAACCACTATTTATTCTATTTTTAACTGCTATATCGCACACAGAAAGAGCTTTGGATCTGTAAAGCTGCTAACAATTCTCTGAGACCTACACATGTATTACACATTTTTATCTATGCACATCTCACTTAACAAGGCTGTATTAAATAGATCTTCTGTACCTGCAATACAGTATCAAATGTAACAACTGTGATTATATGAAACCACACATTTTAGAATGTGTTTTTAATTATCTGATTTAAAAACAATTAAATATATATTTTTAAAATGTACACACTTATGTAGACAACAACTCCATTGGTGAACAGAGATATAGAATGACCATGTGAGGCCCTCAAAATTCGCTTCAGTATTTTCTAATTATTTGTGGCTCAAGAAGTCCAAGGTGGCCTGGTAAGACGTGCACTTTCCCACTACATCTCAGGAGCAATGTTAAACATTGCTCAAATAAGAGCCACATATTACTGTTCTGCTTTCTGTATTTCCACTCAGACTTTCTACACTAAAGCTGTATGGGATTGTACAAGTGTATCAAGACACTGACATTTTTGATCTTTAATATAACGATACACAATGTGCATCTTTTAAAAAGGAAACAGAAGTGAAGAAAATTGTATACCAGGTGCATTTAAACTACTGTATCTGTTCAACATTACAAAGCCACAAACCCATTTTACTGTTATATTTACACTCAAAAACTTTCAACTATTTCACAACCATACAACTACTTACATTTAAAAACTGCTAAAAACAGGAAAACATTTTTAGAAAGCCATGTGTTCTGTCAGGTTTTGTTCAGTTACTACTGGAATGCAGTTGCTCATTGACTATTTTGAGAAACGAATATCAGAACAGAAATAATCAAACATAAGTAAGCAAAAAACTAAATAGCTTACAGGGATGATGAACAGACTTCCAGTACACAGGATCAGAAGCAGCAGGAACCCAAAACATTAAGGAACTAGAAAATTCTACTTAATGCATAAGTGAATCCCTGATCAAATACATAAAAATACAGGTGATAACTTCTGTAGCTCTCCTGTACGTCTAGGGGTTGTTAGTGTCACTTAGCACAACGTCAGAACTAGCATTTTGCCATGGATATGTAGCATTAAACAAACAACAATCACTAGAAATACTGTGAAAGTTAGCTCAGAAAACAATACTGGCAGGGTCACTAAATTCTCAGCAAGTGAGAATCAGGGTGTTAATTCCGTTTGCTAATATGTGACAAGCAGTGCACAAAGACATACCGCTAGCTAGTGGGCATCCAGGGAGCACAGTCTGCTCCATCTGCTCCAATCTCTCTTAACATATATAAGGCCTGCAGAAGCCCAAACGAAGCACTGCTGTTCTCCAAAACCCAAATGAAGACCCCACTTTTCTACACTTAACTGGATGACTTCAGTAAAGAATCGCCGTATTATGATGACTTTAAACAGTAGGAAAGTAACAGTGTAAAGTTTAAGAAATAAAAAAAGTGCTGAAAGCTGTGATGTCAAAATAATGCAATTTTAGGCACTTGTGAGAAAAAATTGTACAGTTCATTCTTAGTGCATCTCACCAATGTATTCCTGCACAAACTACAAAAGCTGGTTACTGTGCCTCCACTGTGTCTAAGAAAGGATTCAACTACAGGAAGCTTAGAAGTTCACTTCCTAGTAACTGGTATTATGCCATCATCGTTGGCAGACATTTTAAAGAAAGAGAAGTTACAATGTCATTGGAAAGCCCTCAGTATTTCAACAGTTACTGGTAATTCCTGGAGGAAGGCCAAAAATTGGTGGTTCATTTTTTATTTTTTTTTTCCCCTCTAGAGATCTCAGATCAAATCTAAACACTGTTAAAAAATGGTGGCATAACCTTCACAAACAACGTCTCCAGACTAAGTTAGAGAGCCTGTAAAAGAACACCCGGGAATACTTCTGTGCCCAATGCTGAACATGCTTCCAAATGATCAAGTTCACATGCAAGGTAAAATGAAGTAAATGTTCTTTGAAACAAAGGCCAGGAAATCAACTCATTTAGCAATAATTTACCACCTGTCCCAACAAATGGAAATGAATGACATTTTTTTATTTGCATTAGATGCCACTCCATCTGATAGATGGACAAATGACTGCACTAGAGTCGTACATTTTCAAGCAATCCGTTTAGAAGACTTCCCCAATACAGTACTTGCTGTGAACTTGACCTCTTCCATCTGTAAGCCACTACAGAAACAGGTAAATCCTATTTGTAAACTGAAACTGCAAATGTCAAAAATAAGGATTTAGGACTAAATATTCTCAGCCTTGAGTCAAATGAGCTTTTGTTTCATGACAGAGCAAATAAGGCTCTAACAGAACACAGCACTTTCCTTTGACTCCTTCCGAGCCATTCCAGCATTTACAACAATACCACAACTACACAGAAATTCTTCCACAGAAATGACTTATTGTTAGGATGCATCAATATTTCTGTAACTTTTATACTGATGAATTCTAAAATCTAATTCTAAAATCTGCATCAAATAGAAGCCAGCTGGACGGCTCAGAGACAGGACAAGCTACAGCAACTATTTTCCCCCTCAAAAACATGCAAACAAGTTGCAAGTATCTGATACTTATTGGGCCCAACAATCTCCCAGTTTCTACAGTAGTTTCTACTACTTTAAAAACAAATGAACAAAAAGTTGAAATCATATTGCCTAGATTTCTTTCTACCTAGCAAAACATGGAAAACACCTTCAGCAAACATACAACCAACACAATAAATAAAATGACTGTGTGTGGCATCTCCTTTCATATAATTCCAAACCAGTGTAGGAACAGCATCTGACTCCATCTTTTTTCCTGTATAACACAAAGAGATGCTACTGGCTATCAGAATCACCGTTAAGGTATTTACCTATTACACACAGTTTAGTGGCTGAAAGTAATGCCCACTGTGTAGGATCCCTGAGTGCTTCAAAAGCAGAAGAAATAAACAAAAAACCACCCCAACAACGAAAAAGCAAATTTCTATAGAGAAGATAAATTGAAAGCTCCAGGATATTATACATACATGACAATAAAGTCATTATAGATTCTTTTTGCTATTAAGTACACTGAGGCTGTGTCTTTGAAGAATGCAAGTTTTACAAAATATGAAAGGTATTCAAGGGGGGTGAGGGGAGAAGCAAGGAGAATAAGTCACTTTCTGCAGCTGAGGTTACAGAGCGTTCCATCTCCATTCATGGCACTGCCATCGAGTTCCTAAAGCCTTGCTCAGACAACAGAAAAATTGAAGGCAGTAAGGGGAAGTTTCTAAATGGCCTTGTCAGAGAATTAAGTCGATTCTTGTCTTCTTCTGTAAATTAAAACATAGCAGAAACCCAAATATATTGCTTTCTGTGTACCAGAAAAACATCACCCTCCTATGAAAGTAACCAATCATTAAACTAGTGGTTCAAACTTTCAAGTTATTACCCTCCAGCACTAAAACGACACAACAAGTGAAGATATCTTATAAAAGCAGAGAATTCCAATTGAAAAAAAAAAAATCAAAAATAAACAAAAACTATTGCAATACAGATTTAAATAACCACATTTTAATCCATAGCAGGTAAATGCTGTTAGTATGTGGGGAAGATGGCGTTTCCACCTTTACTAACAAATCTTTTAGATCTATATAGTCCAGAAATGAAAAGTAACTTTTCCCTTGAAAAATGGCATATTTTATTAAATCTATGTAAGTAATCCGTATCTAAATAGTAGGCTGCATACTAGAAATTACAATTTTGTCCAGTGAAAGTATTTTTATTAAGAAAGGCTATATAGAATAAAAACACAGTTTTGGGTGTTTCCCTGTCCAAACTGCAAAACCAAATGTTCTTCCTTTACAAAAGCTAACGGCATTTTCATTTAGGCACATCCAGGCAAATGTTACAAGTCAGGAACGACACTTCCTCCACGTGATAGGAACGCCAGCAAATGGGATGGCTAAAAATCTATTTTACAGAGTCTGTAGGTAAAGGTGGTGTAAGAATTCTATCTTCCAGTCTGTAATCTTTTCTAGGATGAAAATGGGGACTTCTTGTATACCAAGGTTTCAGACTCACGGAGACAACAGATGTGAAAAATTTCTTCTCACAGAATGCAACCTTGGTTCCTAAAGAGAGAGGAAAAATGCTGTGTTGTTTCCTCTAGTTTGAGCTGTGTCTGAATTATTACATTAATAATGCTCTAACGAAAAATAACTGTGCATTTTGATACTGCATCAGCAAGACAGATGTGGTTCAAGAAGGAAAGACAGACTTCTATTAAGTACACAGGTGAAGCTGACAGTGGCAAAAAGAACCTTCACTTGTGTATAAGAACATTAAATGAGTTCAGATTTAATTTACCTAAAAGTTCTGTTCACTGATCATTTAGCCTTAGTGAAGTATTTTTATAATGTTATCATGCAAAACCATGCAGCAGATTCTATATATGTATTCTCTATAAAAGCTCAAAACTCAGCCTAGCATTAGGTATTCCTAAGAACTGTTTTAATTTTAGATGTTATATAAATACATAATCTGATACCTGAACGCTTCAACATAGCTCTCTGCAGCCAATCTTTGTATCTTTCTTTTGTTATTCAACTATTAACACTGTCCTCTCCCTTCAAGCTCTGTCAGTTTCCTAACACTATCAGCTAATACTGTACTTCTTATATTCCTATTAGGATATCCGATCAACCTGAACCTCAAAATTTCAGTTTATTACCATCTACTCAATTCAAACCATCTTGTGGATTTCCATCCCGAATTTCTAGGCTCACAGGCTGTCTAGAACCAGCTTTCATCTAGAGAATCTTCCTTATGTCAGCAGAACTTCAGTTCCAAATATTTTTCACTCTTTCTTTAGCTTTGACTCCTATAAAAATATGGATGGCACAAAATGTTTTCTCCTCTATACTGCCATGTCCCAGTGTGATGGTGAAGACTTAATTTCACACTGGTGGGACTTTTACAAGTCATATCCGGGGACAAATTTTACAGACACATAAGCAGACAAAAAGTCACATTCTAAGCACATACCAAGCCCCTGCTACGTACTGTGGGGCTGTTAAAAGGCTATCACATAACAAACCAAAATAAATTACTTTAACATGTGTAAAACATATATTTTTCCCTAACTTCATCTTATTAAAATACTCCATTTTTGAAGAGAAGTAAACAACTCAAAGCAGCACCTTTTTCACCGAAGAAATATGGTTGAGCACTTGCCACAGAGTATAACTCCATGAATACAAATCACCACGTATCACAAAATAAAAAGAGGGAGGGAAGAAACTACAGTGCTAATAATGGAAACTTAAACAGTTTCATGAACAAAAATCATGTACCAAAGAACTAAGAACTGTCCTTGTTGGTAAAGGAAAAGCAACCCACACATGCACTGAACCTGGAAAGTTGAACAACAAAGAAAATAACTGTGGAGTGAATATACACAGAACTATCTCAGGAATTAATTACACGAATTACGTTACGTCTGTTTTACATAAATATCAGAACATTTACAAATAGGCAAAAAGCAGTTAAGTAGTACCGCAGATTATGTTACATTCTCCCTTATCAGGTTTTGTTGTTTAGCTATTTGTAAATATCAAGTATTGCAATGGAACAACTGACCCTAAGCTTCACAACAGGCAGCTGCTAGCTGGTATGTTGATGATCTCAGCCACACTGGAAGGACTGGACAAGAAAATCAGAACAGGTACACTAAAGCTGCCCAAAGTGCTTAATAGTGAATGCTCCACACTGCCTGTAAAGAGAGACAGAGAGAGAGAAAATAAGATCAGAAAAAGCAAAATAAGCCACTAAACTAGAGTAAGAACAACCTATTGGAAAAATACAAGCTCATTGAAAGAGCACAGCAGGAAATAATGTGAGACAAAGCATGCCATCTGCAACTTGCTATGTTAATATAAAATTAATGAATATGGTTTTGGTGGCGTTTAACCTATCCCTGTGAGGAGCAATAGATCATGCCACAGTTGGTGACAAACCTCTCATTAATTGTGCATGAGGACAACTTCTGTGTTATTCATGCTTCTGAGACTTAGGGAACTTAAAACAAAAGCTTTAGTCTACCTTAATTACACTACATGTACTAATGAAAAAAGCTTAATGGACTGAAAACATGCTTTAAGGTTATTTTTTGTTGTTGCTGTTTCAGATGGAATGCCCTAAGTGCACAGGTCCACATAATACAAAATTACTATACTTTTCCCAAAATGATTACACTAAGACTTCCACTTTAAAAGGTAACTTAGGTATAAATATGCATACATATATACAACTATATGCTTATATAAACATACGGATATTTACGTGCATTATATGCACGCTTAAAATACATTCAAGCTTATTACTGCGAAGAAAAATGAAGTGCTCTAAGTTCAATTAAATTTACAGAATCATCAGTATCTGAGGCTGAGGCGTTAGCATCCTGCACCAAGAAAACCAGAAGGTGTATGTGCACAAAAGTTTGATTACACACCAAATGAATGCCCTAAATTCTGTTCTCACATTGGAAGATCTTTCTTTGGTTTTTGAGTTAGAGGCAATGCAATTATCTGCAACATCCAAGTGAACAATCTTTGATGTTTCTAAAAACATTTTGTTACAGCAAATATAAAATCTCATTGAAAAGCTACTGAAATGATTGTGGAGAACAAAGAACAAAGTGGTAACAAAAACCAAACACACAAATCTGAAAACCAAATTGTTTTTCTGCTGTTGGCGGGTTCTTGATTCAAAAGCCAGCAAATAGCCAAATAGCACGTTCAGGAAAAAAACCAAACCAACAAAACAAACAAAAACCCCTATGTTCCTACTTTTGTACCCTTCTATGAATTTCTACAAGATTTTCTGAAGGCTGAGCTTGAAATTAATTAATACCAAAGCTCAGTGCTCCATTCCAGTGCCCAGCACTTTCAGTTTCCAACAACGAGATCAGAGAAGACCAGCTGGCCATCAGCTAAAACTGTGAGGATAGACATAGTGGTGAAGTAGATCAATTTATGTCCCCTTCTGGACACTTCCAAGTTCAATAAAAGAGAAAGCATCTTAAGGCCCTAAAACATCTCCCACAGGAAGACACCGTATCATTACGTACTTTCAATGTTGGCCAAAATATTCCACTGGATAAAAACCATAGGGACAGCAAAGATACACCCCTACAAAGTTCACAACAGTTGGAAAAAATGACTGAGAAGAAATAAAAGCATGAAATAAATTTACTAAACCCATTCACCTTCCCATCCCCACATGGCACAACTTTTTTTGTATCTACCCTTGGTTTTTGTAGACATAACAACCAGCTCCCTGTGCCTCATGAGTTTCCTTCAAAGTAATTTTCCCTGGTCTGGAACCAGAAGAATTTCAGTTTTCCCTTACTGTTACCATAGACTACACAGATCTCTCTCCCAAAGACAATTCCCTATCTGCCCTCTAGATGCAATCAAGCACTGATCCCCTTATTACAAGAGGTAATACAAGATCTACAGAGAGAAAAGATGATCAAGGGGAGGCTACTAGTATACTATACTCAAACTGAATATTGGTATTAAACAACAAATTTGGATCCAATTATCATTTACTTCCAGAAATTGGGCAGTTTTATTCTAGTTTTAAGGGCATTACAAATTCTGTACCAAAAAAAGTGACATTGGGAAAATACTATGTAAATATTATTTGTCACAATAGAGAAAATGAAGAACAAATTGAAGCACTGTCAGAGCTGAAGCTCTGTTAGCTGTTAAACAAATGCTTTACAAGACGAATGAACAGAGTTCTTATACATTCACAACAGCAATGGAAACACTGGCTCAGAAGTGCACGACTTTCTTCCTTGGTAAATATTTCATAGGTTTTGGTTGTTCACCTCTGTGGCTTCATTAAAATATGACTGCAGTGCACACTCTCTCAAGCTACATTTGAAAGTACTATGTTAGCAGTGCCAAAACTATCCAGACAGGGTCTGTTAGCCACTCTCACCATGTGACTTAAAGCTCCTAGCAGGACTAATATTAAAGCATATGTTTAATCCTAACAGAATTCCTATTGCACTGGAGACAATTACTTTCAATACAATGCCTGTATTTTAGAACGTGCTACCTCTTACAAGGCCACTACTTGTTATTTTTCAAGCAGCAAAGATACATTTGTTGGTATATTTTACCAAGAATGCAGTCAGCAGGCAATATTTTTCTGCAGCTGTGAAGCAGGTGGTAACGATACAACCACTCGCTTAATACACACCAGCCTGCTCTCAACATTTGCTCTTCTATTTCCAATCTCTGTTGAGTGTCCAGCCATCGAGATAGACAACACCAGCTGATACATGCATAGCATATTCAAAACTATGTGAAAAGTTAAAGTGAATGGAGAATTGTGTTCCAGAACTGTTAGTTACTAAGTATAGTTAAAAACCAAACAAGAAACTAAGAACTGCCTGAAATGATTTGACCTGATCCCGTAATAAATAAAATCATCAGAATTCTACCAGTCATTAGAAGGTTCTGAAGATATTTGTGAAGCTGTTTGAAACCTGAATAGAACTTAGTTTCAGTTACAGTCTCTAATGGAAAAATTCTGAGAAAACAGGTGAGATTGAGCAACAAATACAATGAAGGAATGGACAGCATTAGTCGCTCCAAGCTTAATCAAGCTTCAGTCTGCACTGCTAACACAACTACTTGCTCCACCCTGACCCAAACTTCCAGTGTAAGTAGAAGAGCTTGTGCAATTGCCTGAGAAACTGGTCTGAGAAATTAACACAAGTTTAAGCTAGTGCATTCTGTGTAGTGGGAATGAAGAATCATATTTAATAACATCAGTTCCCTGACTTGTTTTAACACACTGCCACACAAAAACTTGTACCAGCACAGGAAATGGGTGATATGGAAAAAAGATTGAGTTCCTGGGTTACACCAGCTTCAGCTGTGCGCGAAATTACTGCTAAAGCTGTGAAAAGAGACATATGTAACACTGCTTCACAAGATAAATGAGTATGAGCTCATTTCCTATGCCACAGTAACTGTTCAAACACACTTTACCATGCACAGACATACCCTATGGTCAATTAACATGTCATCACTTACTGCTAAGTAAACTACTTCACCATAAAGAAAAGCCTTGGTACCATGCTAGTTACTGTGCAAGAGAAAGAGCTACCCCGTGCTACAGATGCATCTTGCAATTTACTTCACACTACTTTGCTCCTTAGGGCTAGGAGAAACAGTAAGTCAGGTACCAAGGAAAAAACCTCCTTCTGTGTTTGATACAGTAAGAATGATTTGTTTGTTACTCTGAGAGTACTGATATCAATTTTTTTCTTTGTTTTAGTGCCTTAATATGATGAGAAAATGGAATGTAAACTGAATATTATAGTCACTGTGTTATGCCCACTTCCATTAAGTGTCTAAGTATATGAACTACTCAGCATTACTATTCCTGAGTTCATATCCAGCTTGTATTTTCTTTTTTCAGTTGGAGTAATTACATTTCATTTCCAAACAACTCTTAATGTTACAGCCCCCTCTACTGGCTATTTTAGTAGATACTGTTACACAGTGGTCTGGGAAAAGATTCTTCTCAAGAGAAACCTAAAACAATACAGGTGCAAGCTTTGGAGTAGTCCCTATTCATTGTTATTTGTAGCTGGAGCAAGTATATTCACTGAAGAAACATTGCCGTATCAAGTAAACCCACTAAGACACTTAATCCCCTCTTATGATGCGAGATCTAGGCTAGATTCAATTTCACAACTTTTGATATCATCCTTAGTGCTGCTCCAGAAGTTATGCCTCCTGTTTTATTACGCTGGCCCACAACATCAGAGGTAGATGTGGTCTGGCAGTAGGGACTGGACCTTCCCACCAATATTTCCATTACATTTTATTGCTGTGTGACAGATGACAGCAAACGGGCAGTCTGACAAAGTGGTGCCTGACAAGAAGAGCGTATGAAGCAAAGGTAAATTACTGAATTCCTCCTCTTGGAAAAAAATGGCACCAACACTCATCAATGCTTGCTGAACATTTAAGGAGACCAAATAATGGATGTGAGCACAGTGAGAGGTAGGCAGTGCATTTCAGTAGTGGCAACAGCTGATCACCTCTGCTGGTGCAGAATTTTTACATGTGACACACGCGCTCTCGTCCATCACTAGAAAAAAAAGGATCCCTAACTGTCATAGAACTGTAGGATGGATTGGGTTGGAAGGGACCATAAAGATTATCTAGTCCCAGCTAATTTCCTGCCACAGGCAGGGCTGTCAACCTCTAAATCAGGTACAATTGTCCAGTCTTATCCAACCTGGTCATGAACATCTCCAGGGAAAAGGCATTCATAACTTCCCTCAGCAGCCTGTTCCAGCATCTCATCCTTCTTTCAGTGGAAAATTTCACTCTCACATCAAATCTAAATTCCCCTTCTTTTAGCTTAAAGCCATTCTCTTATGTCCCTTCACTACCTATTCCCTTCTGCACATAAGCTCTCTTCAAGCTCTGGAACATTGCCATGACATTTCCCCTGAGCCTTCTCTTAATGAAGCTGAACAAGTCCAGCTCCCCCAACCTGTCTTCACAGGAGAGGTGCTCCAGCCCTCTGATCATCTTCATGGCCCTTCTCTGGTCCCACCACAAAAGCTCCACATCCTTGTCATGTTTGAGGTGCCAGACCTGGATGCAGTACTCCAGATGGAGCCTCATAAGCACAGAGCAGAGGGGGACAATCCCTTGCCCTGGTGGCCTCCTCTCATTTGATGCAAGCCAGGATGCAGTTGGTCCTCTGAATCACAAGCACACACTGCTGGCTCATGTTATGTGTTTAATTTACCAGGACCCCCAACCCTTTCTGATGATGCTACCCTTAAAAGAGTTCTCCCTGAGTGTACTCATACTTGGGATTGCCCTGACCCAAGTGCAACACAATACACCTGGCCTTGCTTAACCTCATTAGGTTTACATGGACTGTTTTCAGGCTCGCTCAGGTCCCTCCGGATAGCATCTCTTCCTTCTGTTGAACTAAACCACTCCCTCAGCTTGGTGTTTTCTGCAGACTCGCTAAGGGTGCCCTTGATTCCATCATCTAGTCAAGATGAAACCCTGGGGGAAACCACCCAACGTTGGCCTCCACGTGGACATAGAGCCATTGAGCACAACACTCCTGCTGTGACCTTCCAACCAATTCTTATCCAAAAAATAGTCCACTCTTCTAACACATCTCTCTTCCATTTTAGCGATAAAGATGTTGCATAGGACCATGTCAAAGGCCTTGCAGAAATCCAGGTATACATCACCAGTTACCATTTCTTTGCTCACTAGTGCAGTCACTCCATCATAGGCGGCTTTGGTCAGCCACAATCTGCCCCTGGTGAAACCGTACTGGCTGTCTCAGATCACCTCTGTGCCTTAACACGTCTTCCAGGAGGATGTGTTCCATGATCTTTTCAGGCACAAAGGTGAGGCTCACTTCTGTAGCTCCACATCTTCCTTTCTCCCTTTCTTAGAAGTGGGAGTAGCGTTTCCCTTTTTCCAGTCACCAGAGACTTCACCTGACAGTCATGACTTTTCAGATATGATGGAGAGCTGCTAGGCAATCACACCAGCCAGCTCCTTCGGGACTCAGGGATGCATGTCATTTGGCCCCATAGACTAATACACATTCAGTCTCATGAGATGGTCTCAGACTTGCTTTTCTCTTGACAATTGCTACCCCAGCCTCAACTTACTGGTTCAAGGATACAAGGTTCAGGAATGTGAGATAAATGACAAGTGTGGCTGCCAGTGAAGACTGAGACAAAGAACTCAGTGAATACCTTTTCTATACGTGCTGTAGCAAGATAGTGACTAAGTTGAAAAATAGTGCTTAGTAGCTGAAAATTTGCTCCATCAAATAATAACATTGTGGTCCTTGTATCTGTTGCAGTTTCCATGGAAATAATTAGCAGACATTCCTTTCAGAGCAACCTATGTAATTTAGGCAAAAGGTTCTCAAATCGACACTCAAGCAAAACCTTGTATTAGGTGACATAGAAAAATCACTTTTTAGAATGCCCATTCAGAACCAGAACTGCAGAGTAGACACGTGTAGGTGATCAATCTAAACAGTTTTGCATCCTGTTCTAAAACTCCACCTTGCCATAACAAGAGGTGCTTGCCTAACACTGTAAGAAATGACTTCAGTTTCTCAAGACAGAGACAAAGAATTCGTAACAATTTTCTCTCAAAATATACCTTCATTTGCAGTTCTCTAATTCAAGTATCACAATAACTAGTCTTTTTCTTTTTTAATTTCCATAAGCTGTTTCAAAAAAAATTTTAAAAAAAGAGTAATCTCTATGCCCAATCTCCATCTCTATCTAAATCTGTAATAGATATCTAGATAGATATCTCTATCTATCTATAATCTCTATCTAAGAAAGTCTCATGTGAAGAAAAAAAATCACTTTCTCTGAAGCATTACCATTTTCCTTAATTATTAATCTATTAATAAAAGACTGATCCTTTCCCCTCTTCCTGACCCCCTTCCAAAGACTACCATGCTTACTTTAACTTGCTTAGTTTGACTCACAGGTGCAGGCATGGCTACAGCATTCTGGGCAAAAGGCTGGTGAGGGGTTGCTTGAACTCCATGATCAGAAAATGGCTGGAATAAAGAAGAAAGGAAAAAAAACCAAACAGAAGTGAGCAGAAAAGTATATATTTTTTTACTCCTGGAAAACTTCCACACTAATTTAGACCCCTTAACACTTCAAACTGTGGTCTAACATAACCACGCAAACCATGAACAACTGTTCAGAAACTGAAAACTCAATATTTAAACTTAAGTCTTCCTCGCTGTATCAAAGTTAAGTAAATACAATTTATTTAGATCACTGTCTGGTCTTCATCTCTAAGCTACTTTACTTAGATAAGTGCCAGAAAGCACTTTTGCAGTACTAATCCAGTTCACTCAGCTCTAACTGGAACCGAGTTTAAGTGTGCAGATTAGCAAAGTGTAACAGTGTTGGGAATTCTGTTTCAGACTATTTACACTTAAATAACACAAAGGCCTCTCTTCGAATTTTACACTGTCTTCTGCATTTCCACATAATGCTTCTTTTAAAACTAGCAAACGATACAACTGTGAACTAAGAGCATGATACAGCCAAATATTCCTCAACTAATTTCATGTTTTTTCTGCTTATTGTTCCTATACTCTAAATTTCTCTCTATAAGATCTGATTATATCTGATTTATGAAATACAAGAGCTAAAACAACGACAGTGAGATTCATGACTATACACTTAATACTGACATTTATGCATTTTATAAAGGGAGAAAAAGCCCAACAACCAAACCCTTGTTTTATTCACAAAGAATTTTTGAAGGGAAATCACGTGTGCCACGATTTCTCACCAAAGATGTATGGAATATCATTTGTGGAACTTTTCTCTTGTAGTAATAAAATTCTCCTCAACTTTTAAAAAAATACTTGATTACTGCCCTAATTTACCATTTACTCTGATATCCCTGTTAAGGAGAACTGAATTAACAAAGCAGAAGAATAGCCATTATTTGTAACACATGTTCAATTCTTTAAAATAAGACTTTCTGTAGCCAATTACTGTCATTTTTCATACCCAATCATAAATAGCCTTATTGTATGTAAGCAACCTCTTGGAATTGGAACAGCTATTGATACAGAAGCAAGAAAAGCATAGCAAGGAAGAGCAGAAGAAACTGAGGTCACTCAACTACTCTTAATCCACCCCAGCCTCCACATTATTCAGGAACTAGCCTGTACTTACATGGAAAAAGTATGTAACAAAATTGACACTGTTTGAGTAGATTACTTCAGCATTGTGAGGGACTCCTGTTTTGTTTTTTATTTTCAAATAAAATGACTATCCTTTATACTGCTGTTTGTCAGATACCCTGTGACCTTCTAAGGTACTCCAGAATTAAGGCATCCTCCTAGAAAATGGAAGAGATACTCTAACCATAAGACAACTCAAACCAATCAGCAGAGCAGCAGCGCAGGTTTGGGGAACACTAGACAGTTGACCCAAATGCTCTGAACTACCTGTGCTAAAACTGAAGTGTGTTTTTCAACTGCAGATAAATGCTATGACTAAGAATAAAATTGTTCATAGAAATACCTCAGGAACTGCAGCTTCCACTAGAAGGAAAGGAGAAGGTACGCAACCACCTTCCTGGGCAATCCCTACTGGCTGATAAATAACTTCAGATGGGTGCAGATAAAACAACGAAGGCGAAGAGGTTGGAGACTGAAATAAAACACAATGCTTCCATGAATCATTTAATTCTTGCACTATATCTAGCAAATCTTGCTTTACTGTCATTTTTGCTACATATAAACAAGTTAAAGTTAAAACTTTTAATGAAAGTGTCAAATTCAGCTTTGCTAATTTAAGGAAACCAGCTGATGGGGAGTACTTAGCAAAGCTGGACAGCAGGAAAAAAGAAAAATGTCCTTTAAGCTCTTCTTAAAAAGTTTTTCATATTTCATTTAGATTTTCCAAAACACTGCTGGAAAAATCCTAAGCTCTATAGAACAGACACTGTCAAAATCACATAGTACAGTTCACAGAACCATAAAATGGCCTAGGTTGGAAGGGACCTCAAGGATCATTGAGCTCCAGCATCCCTGCCACAGGCAGGGCCACCAGCCTCCATACGTAAAACTAGACCAGTTGTAATTCTCTTGCAGAGAGTTAAATAAAAAATACATTTTCTCTTAAAATACGAACCACAATAATTTGAATGCTTAAGTTTACCCATGTCTATGCACTGAAAGCACTAAACTCCTGACACATCTTCGGTTTAGTCAGTTAGCTATCTGAACAGACCTTGCATTTTCTCTCTTTACACCAAGAGAGAAGATCCCTAGACGAGTCAGTCAGTCTGTTATCTTGGAAGAGCTAAGCCTGCAGTCTAAGTGCAGGACTGCCTGATCCCATTGCTCAAGAGAAGTACCCTACCCTTTGTTGGCAGCAGGTGATACCAAAAAGGGTTCCAAAATTTAGAACTATATAACTCATAATTGATGCACATCAAACCTAACAATTTGGCACTTAAATTTCCAAGCAGCCAACTGATACTCACAGTGGACTAATAAGAACATGAAGAACATAATAAGAATATGACTAGCCAGTACTGAAGTTATAAAGACACATTTTAATAGTTCAACAATCCTGGTTATTCTTTTAGCTTTAAATTCTAAATTCCCTCAGCGACAAGGTTTCCATATTAAGAGCCTCTACTACACAGATCAGAAAATTGTGAAGTATATCCCCCACAAAATATCACATTTTTTCTCCTGCTTCAAAGGCCTGGGTCTAATTTTGCCATACTTGCATGCTTACCAGCTTCTACTACTACTAAACTAGTAAAATGTCAGTTATTACCAGGTAATGAGCTAGTTAACATTCATTTCTCCTATCAGGCACAATGTAGTAGTTTAGACACACTTTTGAAAGTCTCTGATAAAGTAATAAAAACCCCTTGCCAAAGGAAGAAGGGAAAATGCCTTCCTTAAAAGAAGTTTACATTTTACATTTCAATAAATGCTACATTTTGTCTTCTATCCTACTAGTGCTGCAGATTAATTGATAAAATATAGCTATTTATTTCAACAGTGCTACAATTAGTAATTTTTGCATTTGATTTGCAAACAAACTTAAGAGCACTCGATAAGCACACCCTGCTTTTAAACTAACTGGAAACTAAGGGTAAAATACTAGAACTACAAATGGTGTTTACCTGTGAAACAGACCACTGCCACTGACCTGGAAGACACTGTGTTGGTGCCTAAATTCAAGGACACAAGAAAGATATTACTTACATAATTAAAAACATATGTAAAGACATACACCTTTCTCATGTATTAGAACCAAAAATATCCCAAATCTTCATTACAATCTTATTAAAAGGAACAAATATGATTTACGTAAACCCTCAATTCAAGAATTTTGTCTACTACCACTCAGCTGGGCATCTCATAATAATGAATAATGAAGCATCTAAGAAATGTGATTACTTAAAAAAAGACACCCAATACAGCCAACTTTCCAGCATACAAGACAAATTGCCTAAGCTCAGCAGTGGGCTGCCAAGCTGGTTAAGGGACTGTAGAATAGACAAATCAGGATAACAACTGAAATGGCTTCGCAAAACCTTAAAAAGGATAAAGGAGTCATGATGTAATTACTACTGGCTACAACTACATATTGGGAGGGTAGAAATATGAGTAAGTCAGACTCAAAGGTGTTCAGAGCACAAGAGCTGACAAACACGTATTAGAACTCTAAAAATTCTCCTATACAAGAATAAAAATATGCAATAAAAAAAGCCCCTGAATGATCTCCACCTAACCATTATTGCTTTGAGCAGGAATTTGGCTTAGAACAATTAAAAGATCCTTAAGAATGATACTAAGCCAGTTTTCTAGCAACCAAGAAGATTCCAATTTATTCAATTTCCATGTAATTAAATAGGAAGGTAGAAACTGTACTCTATGGGCAGGGGGAGAAAAAAGTCTTCAATGAAATTGAAATCTGTTTCACCGAATTGTTTCTTATTTTTCAAGAATAAACAGAACAGACTGTGCTGCAAACAAAATTGCACAGCTGACTGAAAAGAATACTGCTGCTCTGAAACTCATTGGCAAACATACCTGATAATGGCAAGTAGGAGGCTGATAAACTGGTTGCGTTAAAACCACAGGTGAGCTGGAAACAGTGCGTGACTTGAAAAGACAGAACAGTTACAAGTCAATGCAGCAATTTCCTCATTTGTCGCTTCTGTTAAGACCCAATCTTCAATACTACCTGCTGGATTGTATCTACTACCCTTTAAAAAATGGACTGACCATATTTTAACAACATATTTTAACATTTTTGCAAGGGGGCCTACACTACAGATGAAGCAAAAACCTATCTTGTTATCACAGTAACAAGTGCTTTCTGGAATTGCTTAAGCTCAACCATTATGTCCTCACTACACGTACATTCCTGTAACAATTTTAGCCAATACAAATTATCAGTGATCTATTCCTATCCTCTCATAGTCCCATCCCATCTTCCATTTTCCAAGTCCTTTCCTTACACCAGCCCCAGCACTCATCTGGTCGGGCGGTGATTCAGTTTAAATAACTAAACTAGCTGGAAATTTGCTTTTGTTTTTTTGTAGGGTCAGAAAAACATCAGTGAAAGAAAGGGGTCAATCTCCTCATACCCATTAAAGCCAAGTAATTAACATACTGCATTCTTCCTCCTAAAATAAGCAGCAGCATAATCTCGGACAGACAGAAGGAAAAAAAAAAGAGGAGTATGGATGGAACAGTGCATAAAATTGCTTAAGTTTTAGCATTAAGTTCTCCTTTTATATTCAATATATTGGCCACTGCAGCCAGGAACACCTCACTCATGGGGCAATAATAAATGAAGCCAAGCATGGATCCCAAGCACCAACAAATCCCCAGTAACAAAACTTCTGGAGCAATGACCACACTGATTCTGAATGAATTCTGTCCCGCTCAGTCACATCAAAGCAAAGCCCTCCCACACAAGAACAATAAACTATAAGAACAATAACCTTAAGTAACGTATTTTTAATCTGAATACAAGAAGGAAACCATTTAAATACCAAAGATACGCTGTAGCTGGAGAAACTGGAAGTAAGAGACTTGGAAACTCTGCATTCATCACCTCAGTAAAACATACATACAAAAAAATCAATTACTTACTGGCCATGGCTGCTGAACAGAAGCAACTTCAGGAGTATGAAAATAAGCCACTCCATTATGGTAAATATAAGGATATCCACTTGAAGTCGTTAAGTACATTGTACCACCTTCTGGTATCACATTAGAACCTGAAATTATTTTTTTAAGATGATTTACTTAACAGTATTTGTTGACCAATGCAAAAGCCATAAAGAAGAAGGAAAGATCATTTCTGATCTTCAGAAACTCAAAACATTCAAAGGAAAGAACATGGGAAAGAGCGTGTCTTGTGCCACCTCAACTCTCAAACAAAGAATCACAGGCTGGTGCTGGGGTAGATGGGAAGGGGTACAGAAGATAACATGCATATTGATTACTGAACACAGACAACTCCAATTACCAGCAAATAATTTTTTTTATAATCTTCAAATGTCCAAAGGTAACTTCACACTGTGGGAGATTTTCATTGGTAACCTCCACATACTCATATTTAGCTGAAACAGGATCCAAGCACTAAAAACAACAGAAGGATTTCATTATAAGATGCAACCTGATTTCTCAAAGCACAAAAATTGTGTGATGGCACATTTCCTGACAAAAGAAAGAACAGATATCCAGATTTCAGCAACAAGGACACTTCTCAGCAATGTTACCATACTGCACAGGCTACAGTGTTCTAATCCCAAAGCACAGTTCCAGCTGTCCAGCTCTCTAACTGGAACTGACAATAAGCTTTGTTCAATTAAGGAGACTTCCATTCCCAAGCAGAGGTTGCTTATCTTCCTCAATCACTGCTTTTGGGATCACCTGGAGTCTGTTCCTGTCTGCATTTTGTGGGTAGGCAGAAAGAACATTGTGTAAAAGACAAGTTTTGGTATGAATTACACACGATGCCAAGGAAAAAAAAGAACAAAAAAAAAAAGTAAAGGAAAAATTATTCCATAACCAAAATGGAAATGCTGAAATCATATTTAACATGCAAAATAAATAAATCAGGAAAAACACAAGATGGAGGGCATCATCCCTTGCATCTTCCTTGCAAAGGTAACTGCATCTGGAAACACCCTTTTATGGACAGATACAACGCCGAGGGATTGCCAGAATGGTAAGTGGAGACCAAAAAGGACCCAGCTGTGATTCAAACTGCCTTTGTAGATGCTAGGAGTTTGGCTGACCCCTTGAAAAACCCGAGGATGCTTTTTTACAACAAAGCTGAAATATTATCCATTGAAATGTCACATGCTAAGTGATTCTTAAGAGAGTTAAACAGATGTGAGAAGAATCAGAGACTACATGAATTCCATTAAGCAACCTAGAAAAGCATTATCTCAAATCTTGTTATCTCAAATGAAGAAATCAAGAGAATTCACTCATCAACTATTCTATCCACTTTGCCAAGTACAGAGTGGGGAAAAAAAAAAAAACTTACTAAATGAAAGAAAAGTTTAGCTATCAAACCCAAATTCATTGCAACGGAAAAATGCAAGAACTTGGAGGAGACAGAGCTAACCTGAAGCTTAGGAGATCCAATCACAACTTCACTGCAGGTACTTGAACTTCTTGAGATACGTAAGCATTTTCAACGATAAGCTGTGACTACTTTAAATCAGACACCTGTATTTGAGACCACCCTGGAGTATACACAAAAACAAAATTCACCTACTTACAACAAGCGATGGATGTAACTGCTCTTGACTGAACCAAGAGAACCTCAGTGCCTTGACTAGAACATGATCTAATCCTACACCAGATTTGCATGGCCTTAACTGTAAGAATACTGATCGTCCCAATATGGTCAAAGCTCTTCAAAGAAAAGGTCCTGCGATAACAGCAGAGATGGAAATTGCTCTGCTGAACAGTAGGGGAAGACAGCAACTCAGTTGGGCTGGAAAAGACCAATAAATGAGAGTATCGAAGGAATGATCTTTTAAATTCTGCTAACTAACACAGAGCTACAGTGACACTGTGAGTCTAGATTTCATGGCTTCACAAGCCTCCAAATGATCAAACTACCTTCATGACTAAGGTTAGTGGGTTGAGCATGACAGGAGACGAACTCAAATTAGATCCCAGGATGTGTATCTAGATGCCAACTGGATCTTCTAACACAGTCTGATCATAGGCACCCCGGGGAAAACCATCAGGAGAACTGAGTGATACGAGTCCAGCAATGCACTTGAGAATGCATTTGGGAATGGGAAACAAAGCACTGCAAACTAACAGACCAAACAACAACAACAACAACAACAACAACAACAAAAAAAAAAAAGAAGAAGAAGAAAAAGAAAAAAAACACCAAAACCAACCAACCAAAAAAACAAAAAGTCACAACTGAACACAAAACCCCTTGATGATGGCTGAGCAAAGATCACACAACTATTTCCTAAGCAAAGAAACAACATAGCAGGAATGAAGAATTTCCACTCTCCTGGGCAAATCCTACTCTGCACACTTAAGAGGGATAGTGTACCTATGCATACAGGAGTAGAAATTTCCTTTCAAGTGGAAGTATGTCTGCAGCAACAGCAGTAGTGTGCATATGAGAATATGTACATACGAATGATCTCAATAGAGGACAACAAAAAATAAGCAAACTTCAGAATTAAAACTAAAGTTCCACAGAATTGCCCTCAAACAGAAAAGGTTCAAATGCTTGTGTTCCCCCCCTCCCCAGCAAAAGGTACCATAAGACAAACACTGAAGCACAAAGTTATGCTTCATTTGCTTCTGCATTTCTCAAGTAACATTTTACTTCTCTGATTTTATTGACATTACTAAGGAATAACAAAATAGCATGCCTTGCTATATAAAAAAGCTGGCAGCTCTTATCTTCAAAGTTAGTGGTTTACACCTTTTGCAATTTATTGTGGAAACAAAACAGTGCCTAGCGGAAGGCAAAGATATGTTATCTAGAAGGAAGCCCATAACATGGAAAGATCACCCACAGAACTTTTAACAGCATACTTGCCCAAAGTAACAAATAGGCACCTGACAAAGGCATCTGACCAATGATTCTATCTTGTATGTTTTCAGCTTAAATAGTTCTCTGCCCAAGAAGGAACCCTCAGCAACCCTGCCTTTATTTTAAAGCAAAGAAACACCAAGAATTCAGCGGAGACTGGAAACACCCACTCGTTATGGTTTCTACTGAACAAAGCAAGGCGTAGTGGTTCTGATGGATTTTGCTACTAACTAGTAATAACCCAGAGAACCAGGGAAACCTGCTAAACAATTTGTGAGGGCGGCATTTAGATTTGAGGTTCTGCATCGTAACTAAGAGAAGATTCCATTCCCCTTGTCCCTAGATAAATAATCATTCCAAGAGGGTAAACATATATATTAAGGGGGAGAAAGAAGTTCTGAAGATCAATCCTGGGCATGCCAAATCTGGACTTCTCCACTGGTACGTATTTACTCTGTGTTCTGTCTATAGCATGAATGCAACGCATGATCAGGCATATTGTGGTTAAAAACGAGATGTGCAATTACATCTGTAACAGACAAGTGTGAGTGAATATACATACGAGGAATCCGTGTTTGCTGTTTTCTTATTGCTGGTCCAATATTCAACTTCTTATCCTTGTAATTAAGTTTTTTAGCCTAGAATTTTTAAAAATAGTATATTCAGTATTTATAATTTTTTTAACACAGACCAAGGCATTTAAAACAAAGAACAACAAACAGAGCCACTACTTCTTATTTAGAATGCATCTTAGTAAAACAAGAAACACACTAACTCCTTTTTTAACCTGATCTTAGACTTTACATACTTAAAAGCAATCATCACTTATTTCAAGTACTCCTTATTTATCACAGAGCCAGTAACAGATACCTATAATTGTCAGATTTTTGTTTGTTCAACTCTTCTCAGTCCCATTTCTACTATTTGAATAAAAAGTAAAACATACTTAGAAATGGACAATTTCAAGTGTAAAGATTAAACTTATTTTTTCCACAATTACAACATCGTTTTACTAAAGATGAGAATAAGTCAATAAAATGAACCAGAGCATAAGGACTGAAGGTGACAAAAAGCTTAAATTTTACATGAGACCTGGTACTGCCTTAAACTTTACCTTCCTTAAATCCAGGCTAACAAAATACAAACTAAATAATAAGAATCCAAAAATAGATATTCTAGTAAGATTAAATCACAGCAGAATAGCTAAAAAAAAGAGTGCTAAGTACCAACAAGTTATACAGTCTTCTGATTCCTACTCAGTTCTAAACGCTACCTTACTACACCACGACGTTTTCAGTGTCAGGTGTAATTTTTCCAGTAAGGAAATAAAAAATTATTTATTAAAGAAGAATATAGAAATAGTTTGAAATCACATTGAAAAGATGGACAACAGTTACAAATAAAAACCAAAGCATTCTCTTTATTTCAACCCTTCTTAGTGAAACATGTGAGCACTTCATAATAACTTAGATATCTGAACATAAGTAGAAGCTAAACTTCTCTTTTAGATTTGGGTCTTCATAAACAAACACTAACTACTGCAAATATACCATCTAAACCAATTTAGAACTAACCAACTCCCAAAAAAACTGTTGTCAGTTTCAGTCCAACTTCATTCCACCACAGACAATAGGAGATGACTCTTCCCAACACATTTATTTCATTTCTGTGATCCATAAGAATTCAGGCTGCTTTTTCAAATATGACTTTCTCAGTTAAAGGAAATTTCTCATCTGGGTGGATTTCCTCAAAGCATTCTATATGGCACTGCACGAAAAATTACATATGATGCTACAAAAAATGCGTATTAATAGGAGAAGCTGTGATTACTTTAAAGTAAAATAAAAAAAGATGGGAAGATGTAGCATTAGATGTAGTAGTACAGGACTGAGAAGAGGCCCCTACAGAAATTCCACGCAGTCTGTTCTTCAGATGCAATTCAATACTTTTGAGGAATGAAAAATACTAAGAAAAAAATCTTAAGATATTATTGATGACCAAGAAGTAGGATGTTTATAAATGAGAAGAAATTCAATAGCATAAAATACGAAATAATTTACATTACAATAAACTATTAAAACTGGGAAACCATCCACTCAAATAGCCTAAAAAAGGCTTAGATTGTAACCGATCTAAGGATGAAAGAGGCTAAGAAAAATACAACCTCACTGCAGAATGTCTGAGATGAAACATTTGCTGCAGACAAAGAGGTTTTGGTCTCACACAGTCAGAAACCACTAAGACTTGACATGGAACAGCCTTTCAGTTACAACGCAGGCAAACATCCTGGACCAAGTTCACAAGGGTTACCTTGGTATTCTATTTCATAGAAATAAAACAAAATCCATGAGGAGAAGGAAAAAAAACAAACAACCAACCCAGCATTTCTGTCTGCTTACTCCTCTGGTTACAGTAGTGATATTTGTTTGGAAATACCCAAGAAAATACCCAAGATTTCTTTTTAAATGTCCCAGTTTGTATTTTGAATTTTAACACACAAACATTCAACAGAGACTCAGTATTCTGGTATTTTACACTTGCTTTATATTTGGCAGAAGACATTTTGCAACCCTTAGATACTGCCTTCTGTTTTCCCCCCACCCGTGTCTTCTAATATTTCTGCATATATGAACAGATCCACACCAACTGATTTATCCAATATATGTCAACCAGAATATGGAGCACCTATTTGTTTGCAAGTAAGAGCTGAAAGGCTAATAACCACCTAACAGCTAATCCTGTCTCAAGGAAGGCTCTAGAGGGAACATCAAGATGGTAACTTAGCTAAGTGGAAAAGCAACCACTGCGCAACATTAAATGAACTTCACTGTTTAAGACCTCTAACAAATCTATTCCTGAGAATTGTTACAACAGCTCTGATGAGCAAACGTGTCAGAATAAAATAAAGCAGTTATCTTTTCCAATTCCCCACAAGATCTTAACAATGGATTTTCTGGTAAAGCAAATGAAAGCAACTGTGAAGGATAAAGAGTAATCAGCATGCATCAGAAGAACAGACTGTATGGAGCACATGTAGAGTAAGAAAGTAAATATTATATGTCAAAGTATTCTAATATCAAGTGACAGCTCACTTCCCTAGATTCAGAATACTTATATATACATCTTGTGTTCATAGAATGGCCCAGGTTGGAAGGGGCCTTAAAGATCATTTAGTTCCAATCCCCTGCTATGGGCTGGGTTGCCAGCCACTAGATCAGGCTGCCCAGGGCCCCAGCCAACCTGGCCTTGACTGCCTCCAGAGACGGGGCACCCACAACTCTTCTGGGCGACCTGCTCCAGCGCCTCACCACCCTCTTAGTAAAAGAACTCCTAATATCTAACCTAAATTTGTCTTTTTCTAGTTAAAGCCACTCCTCCTTGTCCTATCACTTTCAGACTGTAAAAAGTCAGTCCCCCTCCCACTTAAGCTCCCTTAAAGTACTAGAAGGTCACACTGAGGTCTCCCCAGAGCCATCCCTCCTCCAACCTACGTAAGCCCAGCTCCCTCAGCTTGTCCTCATACGGAGGTATCTTGAATCTCTGTCTAAATATTTTCTCAGCTACATTGTATGAAGACAGAATGACCAATCTTAACAGACCTACCAATCCATGCAGGCCAGCAGAACAAGGTCAGAAAACCAGAGATACCTTATGGCCGCTGTGAAATAAATTATTTAAAAGGGAATCGTAACAGGGAGTATTACTCACCTCTTGTAGTATCTTCTGTGCATCTTCCTGAGTTTCAAAAGTAATGAAACCATACCTAAATAAAAAGAGAGCTAAGTCTCTGAAGATCATTATCACAATCACATATTGCACGTTCATACTTTACATACAGTAATGATATCAGAAGGGAAATTATTGGGGAAAAAAAATCAGCTGTAGAAATAGAGACTGTAGTAACAACTGTAATTTTAATTTGTTAATAATCCTTGTAGTAGTCTACTTTCTAATCTAGTTTAATCTAATTTAGATACATGGTCATACATTATTGTTTCCATGCAATAAATGAGTAGTTCACCTGCACAGGTAAGCAAAACCTGCAGGACTACTGGTGTTGCATGGTGAATGTATGTAGATACTTCTTATCAATAAAAGAAAGAAATTCTGTTCTGGATCTCTCAATTGTTAGGAGTGCCCAAGATGAGATGCACTCCTAACTTTTTAAAAATTATTATTATACAGCCTTTTCAGCATAGCTCCCATTATGCCAGTGAAAACTGTGAACACTCCACATCTCCCTAAGCACTACGCAGTACATTTAATTGAGTTCTCAGACAAAGCAGCAAAACACAGCTATGGTTTACCTGGCAATTATTCTTGCCGCTCTTGACACAACTAACAATAAACAACAGTTTTGTGGCAGACTCAAGGATAAAGTACTCTCACATTTCATGACATAATACATCTCCTTCACTGTATATCTCTCAACTGTTGCAACAAATCAAACAGGCTTTTGATAAAGAACTCCTACTACACCACAACACATCAATATTCCCACATAAATCTGTCACTGAACCAAGTGCTGTCTGTGCAAACCAAGTGCCTCATCACACAATTAAAGTACGTAACACAATATGTACATGGAAGATAATTGTTTTGTCTTGTTTTACAGAAAGAACTGCAACTTTCTGAATTGTAACAGTTTTTCTTCATCTTGTAATAGTTTTGAATGCATCATTTCTTAGGTTCAGGGCTCATTCTCAAGGCCAGACTTCAGAAAAATACTAAGAAAGCCTGAAAGCTTCCATCATTCCAGACAGCCTATCAAAATTTGCAGTACAAAATATGTTTTCTGAGCATCTCCATGTTCGCGTGAGTACAGAGATACTGCTAAACCTACGGGCTCTTGCTAGATTGCCTTCTCTAATCAAATTTGGAAACATTTCCAAAACCAAGGGCACAAGAACAAGAAGGTAATTCCTTCATTTGGGATCTTACCTATACAGACATCACATTCTACATGCAATTTGGACAATAATTAATCAGACATAGTGAATCTTAATTAGACAAATAATCTTAAAATGAGTCTCTTCAACCACTTGTCAGCCACAAGCAATAAAGCTTGTGCTTGGATTTGAGTAGAAATCCCAAATATCACTGAAACATTCTTATCCAACACGTTTACTTTCTATATGGAGGTGTAGCAATTTAAGTGTCAAATTCACTCTCAGAATTGATTAAAAAGTTCTGGTATATATACCACATATACCTTTGGCTCAGTCTGCCATTTGTATATCTATGTAAGCTAGGGACTGAACTAAGATCAGGAGATTTGGACACCAAATCTCATCTCTACTGAGCTTCCTGCTAAGAAGAAAACTCAGTGAAGAACTTTACAGGTAATACAGATTCCCACAGATACTCCTTTTCGCCCCAGCTTTCTTTCTACTCTTGTGCTGCAGCACACTTCCCCACTTCACTGACTCCCCCGCCCATGCATCACCCCTTGGGTTTAAACAGTAACTTTACCTTCCAGTTTTAATCTTCCTCCAGATTTTTCTCTCCTCTCATTACTGACATCTTGTCCCAGCCTCCCTTTACTGCACTCATGATTCTTTCTCAGATTTGCCTGTGTTCCCATTTTGAAAATCTCCACAAACTAATCTCTGATCTCGCCCTGCACTCCAGCACAATCAGCCTCATCTCACCTATTCCTCAGGATTCTTTCCCACGCTGACTCACAACAATGAAAAATTATGTATTCTTAATATATAATCCCCAAAAGGGCATTTTAATTCATGTTTTAATTCACATGACAACAATTAAGCACGTTGCAAAGGCATTTACATAGGTAAATGTTAGAGAACACAAGAAGATTTTTGCATACGTGAAATATCTAAGGCCAATAACGCAGTATTAATAACGTTCTGAGCAAAGAAAAAATTAATAAAATTCACTACAGTCTGGCAATTTTCTGCTACATTTTCAGTTTCCACAATATGCTTAATCTACTATACCAACCCTTTTGATATTCCAGCTCTGTCATTTACTATCTTCACCTCTCTGACACAGCCATACTGAGCAAAAAACTTCCTCAGGTCATGTTCATTGGTCTAGTAAATTAAATCAAGAGGGAAAAAAAAGAAAGAAGAAAAGCTGATTTGTATAGTTATTGCCAATGAGTACATTCCATAAGACTTCTAATGGATACACTTTGGATACAGGTTACCACAAACTATAACCCCATACTAAAAAACAAATTAATGAGCATAGACGTGTGCCTCAAAGCAAGAGAACAGCATTACTGTTTAATTGTTGCCTTTCCACATTCAGTGGTAACCTGGAAAACCACTAAAACATTCAGATGTTTTTACACAGTAACAGTCCCCTCACAAGTATATGCACTGAAGCCAGATAACAATCTGATTTTTTTTCAAACTTATCAGAGCGCTGTTGACAAATCACTGCAGTGTTCTCAGACTTCAGAGCAGAAAAATATGTAGGCCTTCAAATGTATACGTGCATCTCTGCACTTGTGTACATGTATACTTACATATACATACACACGAAGGCATGCATATCATACACACACAGGCACATCATGGGAAAACCCTGCCATAAATTAAGTACGAAAAGGTGCTTCTAATGGAGAATGCTCTAAATCCACTTGCAGGAAACTCTTCTCTCTAACCAGAGTGCACATATAGGAGGACAAGTTCCTAACAAGTGCACACTCAAGGAATGTGAGCACTTGTCTCCCTTCTCTGAATTAGCTTTCTTTAATCCTCTGAACATAAATCAAATACGATGTCCTCAACACCATATTTCAGAATTTCTTGTCCTGCACTGATCTGTACATTCAGGCTATTTCTGTACTTGTCCACATTCTTTCATTATTTTAGGTACACAAGAAGTACTGTTTCACCTTTAAGTGAAAAACTTCTGCTGATTTAAAAAGTATATATACAATTTAGCAGAAAATCCCTTTTGCAGATTAAGAACTTACCTGAGTTTGAAAAGCAAAAAAAATTTTAAAAGAAAAACTAAAACTCTAATTCAAGTAACATTCATAAATAGAAAGAATACAAAGCTAACACTTTATGAATAACTCTGCCCTCAATACATATTTTATGAAAAGAATGCAATTTACTTGTTGCAATCTTCAAGTCCAGGGAGCACTCATGGTACAAGACTTAGCTCCTCATGTCTCCAAGTGTTCTGGCATTACAACACTATAAAATACAGCCATGCTGTAGAAGTGTGGGGAGCAGTAACAGACAGGAGTGCTCTCAACAAGCAGGAAATAGACTTCACTGGGTGCAGCAACTGGATAGGTCTGTATGATAGGACTGGCATTGCAACAAAGATGTGATGACAGAAGGACCAACACAATAGGAAGGTGTTCTAAAGGAAAGGAAGAAGCTTGCTCACCCATATCAGAAGATTCTAGGTTCACAGGATAAAGTTTCACTAAGGAGGGATCTCCAGAAAGAGATCCTTCTCCAGTGGCAGTCAGAGAGGTGCTTTACCCCTTCCAGTCACACAGCTGAACTGCCTGCACCTATGCTTCCAGGGCTGACCAGGTCTCTTTCCCCAGGTGCTCAATCAGTGGCTCAGGTGTGACTCAGCTGTTCCCATACAACTGGGTAATCATGTCTTCCCCTTGGAAATCCCCTGCACCAGATCCTGAGCAACTACACACCACTGAAAGGTTAAAGTATTACTAAACGGCACCCCAAACCATCCTCCTGAACAGATCACCATGCCTTACACCTGAAGAGAAATGTGAAGTTCTGTTTATGTAGGAAAACAATTCCAGCCAAACAAATGATAGCATATGCCTATGGAACTCTTTTATATAAGCTGAAGCATTCTCACATTCTTACACAATGAACAGCAAATAATGGGTAATAAAGATCGATGGTAAGATTTGTCTTTTCCTTAAAACTTACAATTTCTGGGAGAGCATTCGCTTTCTGGGAGAATGTTGCTTGTAAGCTCTGCATCTTATCAGCAGCTATGATGCTTCACGAGAAAAAGAATGTGATACACAATAGAATAGCTGAAGATAAAAATACATTAAGCAACACTTGAAGAGTTCTTAAGACTGCCATCAGTGCAGAAAGTTATACTGGACTCTTAACGGATGGCAAGGATGTATACACACAGGACAGTAGGCTTCAAAAGCCAAAGATACAGAAATAGAGTGTTAAAAGATGGTAAAATAAAAAGCCTAAGGTTCACAGTGCAGTTTACAAATATCTGGACGAACATTGGTATCTGTAATTTTACCAGAAACACCCCTAGTACTTGTTTTTCTGCTCCTGACAGGACAAGGCACTTGTGAGACTTTCAAGAAAGCCTAATGTTAAGCCTACACAATGTCAAATAGTAATAGCATCCACCACTAAAGAAAGACCTCTTCAGACTGAATCAAAAAGGTACCCAACCATAACTTCTCTTATTGAATTCTTGGAAGTGCAAAAGCTAAGAACTAAAATCTGTACTGCAAATTGCCCAGAAAAGACCTTTTATATTCCTTTTTGCTTTTAAGAAAAAATTACTGCGATAGGTGAAGAACACACATACTGTAGCTCCATCTTTGTGGGAATGGAAAGAAAAGCACTGAAGGAGCTGAAGCTACCCATGGCTGCTATGTTTGCAACATATATCACCGAACTTACAATTAAATGTTACACTTAATTAAAATGTTACTAAATGTTACGCTTAATTAAAAATCCATACATTCTTACTAAGAAATCTGCTTATTAAAAAAGCTACCTCCTTTGAACAATAAAAAAAAGGCAAAAACCAGCATGCCAAAAGTTCCTAGCTTCTTGCTAAGTGAAGAAGTTTATGCAACTTTGTAGCCCAGTGATGTAAATCAAGGCTTAAACATTATTTTCTGCTGTTCATTTGAAGACTGCAATGAAAGGCACCACCTGAGCAAACACAAATACCACTTAGTAGTAAAATGAGGAAAGAAAATACCTTAAAATCAATTCCTCCAACAAAGATGCGATTTGGAGTAACTGTTCCAAACCTTGGTGCACCGGTTGGGTTATTCAATGGCACTGGTGACATAGCGTTGGGAGACGAAGATAAAGATTCTGTTTGTGTCTCATTTGCAGTCTGTTGATTAGAAAAAAAAAACAAAACAAAACCAAAAACCAAACTTTTCAAAGATTGCCTGTATCTCACACAGTATAGGCTGTAAAGTGAAATAACTCTGAACAGAAAACGTATACAAACTTTTGGTGGGTAAATGCTGAAAAATGAGCACGTGTATTTTTATTATAAACGAGCTCAATTTTAAGCAATTCTGTAACACCTTGAACAAGATACAATCTGATGTTTCACCTACATTCCAACATCTTTTTGAATTAAACATTCTAGGCCTAGTTTCCAAACATTTTTTCTCCTTTGGGTTTGCACAGCACTCTCTGTACCAGTGTCCGCAGTGTGTGACTACGGCTCTTTTAGCAAAATCAGCAAACGCTCGTGTTGGTGTTGAACGAACCTACGGCCAGTAACATCAGACCTCCAATGAAGCCCACCTTCCAACAAACATCCCCTCTATCCTGCAACATCGAGAGGCAGACATCTGTCCCTCCGGCTATTCGTGGCTGCACACGTCTCCAAAGCAGACACCCTCAGCTGCGTTTGAAGACCCACGGGGGCCGTATTTTAGCGCAACACTCGGCACCGTACCACAGAGGAAGCGGGCAGCTGGTACAGAGCCCCAGCCCCTCCGCTGAGGAGAAGGGCCGAGGGGCTGAACCCGCTGATAGCGGCTGTCCCCCACGCCGTAACGGAGCCGCACGCAAGCCGGGTTTCCCGGCACCGTCGGCCTCGGCCCGCCGCGCAGCGCCGCACACAAAATGGCGGCCCACCATAACCGCCAGCGAGGGCCGCTGCGGCGGGGAGGCGCCTCTCAGCTCAGGGCCGCCCCATCTCGCGGCCGACGATGGGGCTCTCAGCTCCCGGCCCCGCCGCCCGCCCTCTCCCCAGAGCGGCCTCGGAGCTCTCGGGCCTCGTCTCACCGCGCCGTCGGGCTCCATCGGTCCCTCGCCGCTCAGCACGGCACGTTCCCGGCACGTGTCGCGTCCTCGGCTCCGCCTCGGCCCGGCGGACGACCTCCAGAGGAAGAGGAGAGAGGGAAGCCTCGCCGCGGCGCTGAGAAAAGCGCGCGGCCCGGGGGCTTCGGCGCCGCGCGGCGGAACGCCAGCCACAGCTCGAGGCGCGAGGGTCGAACCGCTGCGGCCCCGCCCCGGCGCCCGGCCCGGCCCCGCCCACCGACCGAGCGGCCGCTCCCACCGCTGCCGTGCCCCTCCGCCCTCCTTTCCGCACGCAAAGTGCCCCCTCGTAACGCCCGTCCCGCCGAGGCCTGCTCTCCCGCGGCGATCCCCGCAGCTCCTCCCGGCCCCGCCGGGCCCCGCACCTGTGCCTGTCGCTCAACGCCTCTCCTCGGGCTGCGGCTCCCCCCGCGGCTCGGGTTTCAGGGCACACGCACACCTGGCTCCGACGAGAGGCTGGCGGCGGGCGAGGTGCGCGGAGCCCGGGGTCGGCCTTCCCTCGCCGCTCTCCTTGCGTCAGGGGGCGAGAAGCGGCCGCGCGCCTCACCTGTTTGCCGGCCCAACGGAAGAAAGCAAGGAAGCGCCCCAAAACCGACAGCCCACCGTGTGGGGCTCCGCGCGGGTCACTCACTCGGCCTTACGTGATGGCGGCAGAAACAGATCAGCTCTTTTCATTGCTGGTGTGGAGAAGTACTGAGCACAGCTCGGACACCGCTGAAATTCTGAACGAAACTCAATCAGGCACACTGCCCTGAATGCTGCCATGCAGCACCGGGCCCGCACGGCCCCACCGAGGCGATTTAGGGCCCCCTAGCAGAGGCCTGGCAAACACAATGCCGCACGTCTCATAGCCTAGCGCAGCTCTTTTCGACCCTTGGAGGAGCAGGAAACACTTAATAGCAATGTTTCTGGTGGTCCTCCAAAGAGCAGCAAACTGCAAACAGCCTGTTTGCAGTTACATCTTCTCACGTTGTTTGCAAATGAAAATTGGTGGGCTGCTGAACAGGTTTAGGAAAAAAAGTGATTCAGGTGTCTGGTTCATAACCACTAGAATTGCCAGGCAAAAACGCTTATTTTGACGATGGCAAGAGCTAAAATGACAACAAATGTGTGCTGGGAGAGACCCTGACCCCCCCCTTCCTCCCCATGAACATGCTGCTTTTTAAAGTGATTAAACATACATAGAATAATCATAGAATGGCAAGGTTGGAAACGACCTGCAAGATCATCTAGACCAACCATCCTACCACCACCATTGCTACCACAAACCAAACCAGATCTCGTAACTCCTCATCCAGGCGCCTCTTCAACACTGCCAGGGATGACGATTCCACCACCTCCCTGGGCAGCCATTCCAGTTTGCCTGACCACTCTCTGAGAGAAAAAGTTCTTCCTTATGTTTAACCTAAACCTCTTGTGGTACAACTTGCGGCCAACAAAAAAAGGTGAAACATTTCACAAACTTAATCACGGCTGCTCAGTCCCCACATACAGCACCAGGATTTACTGTAGGGTCAATTCATCATTGGTTATTCTCCTGTTTTACTTCTTTTGGATGCTTAAAATCTTCAAGGAAAGAGTATCATGATTATCTTCTGTACAACAAAATGTTGTAGTTGCATTCAAATATTCTTGTCTTGCTTAATCAGCTTTATGCTACATGGACCCAACCCCAAACAAGCAGCACTTTCCACATGAATTACATCTTTAAACTCTCACTGAGCAGTGGCCCCTGGTGGGACTCTGCAGTGGTGCACGGTGCACCCTTCTATTGTTTCTGCAGCATCTACCAGGGTCTGCAGCATTACTGTTACCACAGGAAATTAAAAATAATAATAATATGAAAGACTTGCCCCTAATTGTGTTTACGATATAACAATATAATGCTGAGCTGTTAGCAGCAAGTTTTTTTTTTTCATTCCCTGAGAAAACTATAAAAGTTTTAGAAGAGCTGATGAGATTTAAAATAAAAAAAAAAAAAAACAAAAAAACAGTTGATATTTTATGGCAAAACTGTTGAATTGCATTCCTTCACTTTCTTGAATATTTACCACAGAGTAACAAAGCTTACCCTAGGAACAGCTGTGCTGTCTGTGTATGCTTAAGACCATTCAACTGCTAGCAAAATGATTCCAAGTTCATTCTTCCTGCAGCACAGACAACCAAGTTGTACCAGCTGAGTCACAGTTGTTCCCCAAACTCTCTTGTATAACCTGCAAACATTTTTTTTTTCCCCTTCTACAAGATTTGCTGGCCTGAAAGAGGGATTACTAACTAGAAGTCATTAGATTCAAGCTACCAGGCAGCTATTCTTACTCATCTCAGCTAATCTCATGCCTGCTTAAACTCTGTCTTTAAAAACTTCTGCTCAATCAGTTACAAAACAGCCTGCACTCACAAGAATGACCGATGTCATAAACAGCCTCTAACCTTCATCATACCTCTCTCATCTGACTTGAATAAATGCTTAATCCATGAAACTTTGTGGTTCATGGAGGACAGGGAATTCTGGCCTGCATGGGCAATGTGAGGGTCACTGTGTTCTCCCAGAGTTGTTTTTTTTTCCTGCTCCACCACAGAGCTTTGTTAGCCAATCCGCCGTGCTTTCTGTCTCCACATTTCCCGCATACCCAGTGAGAACACACAGTGCTGCCCAAAGGGTACAGGCAGCAGAAATACTACTTAGTGCTACCATGTTAGAATAACACATCCAAGCCCTGAGAGTCCAAAAGTTGCATGGGAGTTCTTCCAGGAAAACCGGACAATCTCCCCACTCGTTGAGCACACACCTCAAAAAAAAGGTGACTTCACAGCCTATTTTCAAAGAAAATATGCAAAATGGCACAAACTAACCACTGTGTGGACCTCACACATGTGAGTTGCCTTCTCAAAGGTGAAGACATAAAGCTGAGCTCTGTGTTACTAAAATATGCCAGAAGAGCAGAGGCTGCACACCATCACCCCTGCTGCCCTGCATCCTTACAGCCCACCCATGTCCACATGCAGTCCTATAGTACCAAGCAGACACTTGTCCCACTCTGTCCCTGCATGAGAGCTGACCCTCTGCCACACTGGGATGCAGAGGCAAGGCTCTTCACAGCAGAACAGTGTGGACAGTGGCACTGAATCCCTGTCCAATGCCTCAGCCATTCTGCATGCTGCTGGAGGCAATTTTCTAAACAGTCACTGGTTTCATAGGATGTGCAGTTAGGCAGATTCATCCTTTCTTGGATTTTCTTGGTCAAAAGGTTACTAAAGAATGCATCATTTGGCTTTGTACAGGAAGAGCTGTCACAGCTAGCTGCCCTTTGTACATACAATGGCTTGGTTTCTCTTAATGGATTTCTACTACAGATACTTCTTGTAAATGGCAGAAAACAAGCATTGTTAAGAAAAAACGAATTCTCTCCCACAGTCTGCAGCTAAAACAGGTGGGATGAATTGCTGCCTAAAAACTACCAGCCTCAGCACTGGCTATAAGAATGGTTTAGCTGCACAGTGAAACCCTTATTGCTGGCAGCCCCACACACACAGAGGAGCTGCTCAGGCATTGACCAGCACCACTGCTTGCAGGAACCCACCCTGGCCTCCCTGCTGGGCTGAGCTGCTGTGACCTTTGCTGCTGCTCCAAGTGGGAGCTTCTGCACACCCCTGTGGGGAGCTCCAGGTCAGAGCATCCCACCACAGCTCAAGTTCTGGGCAGCACTGATCCTCTACAGTGGCAAAGCACCGTCTCCAACCCCTCACTATCTAGGAAAAGGCAGGCCTTACGGGTACCTGCAGCTCAGATACAAGGACAAACTGCTGGGTTTTTGCTGGATAAGAGGATCCAGAGACCTCAGCATGTAAAGCTACCCCATAAAAATCTCTCACACCAGGCCTAAGGCTTTTTCCCATGCACATCATTATTAAACACTATTTAGATAATTTTCACATCTAATTGACATAAGTAATGGGAAGAATCAAAACTGGTGCCATTCTGTCTTCAATTAATGCTGTTGTCTGACTCCATGTTAGAGGCTTTCATGTGCCCTTGATTTGCTGCCTGGTAAAAACATTTCTCCTATGAACATTTGGGTTCATTCAATGTTAATTATGACCTTTAAGCATTAAATCCCCTGGTAACAGCCTCCATGCACAAAAAAAGACATGACAGACCCTGGTGTCAGTTTTCAAATAACATTTCCCCTCGAGATCTAGGACACACAATTCCAACTGAACTACGGATGTGGGTTTATTGCAATCACCTTGCTAGAAGTGCTAGAATCAGTAACAAACAGAAAAATCTCTTTTCCTGTGGAACTGGCACACCCCAACACAAGCAGAAGCACTGAAGTCAGTGGAACCATGGCATTATTTCTCTGGCTCTTCTTGTACAACAGATCGGTGAACACCTGAAATAAAATTGACAATATTTTCAAGGTGCCCGATGTGAGAGGCTAAGGAAGCCACAAGAAGAAAAGCAAGTATGAAATGCAAATATGAAAACCTATGGGGGGGTTATTCATATTCCAGTAAGCAAGTGAACTCTGCTAACAGCTGAAGATAAAACTTCTGTCCCAGCACACAGCTGCCAGGGGGCATGTGAAGATGAGAGTCAGAGCTGCTGCTGGAGCACTTTTCCTGGTCAGCTTTGCTGTGCTGCCTCTCAGTACAGGGAAAAGTCTTCCTTTGCTAACAGTCCTATATGGCATAGGTCTGATACAGCATGGGAGAGAGCAAAACAGCCTGGCAGGGAGCAAAACAGCCTGGCATGCAGCATGGTTTTAGTTTGCACATCTCCTGTCACACGGGTACCTGGGACTGTCTGCTGATCCCTCCAAGCCTGCTGTTGCTTCTCAGACCCTAAATTCTGCAGCAGGGTTTCCAGGATCACAGAATCAATTTGTCCTTGCCATAAGGAATATGTGCCAAACCTGAACCAAACAATATTGACCCCACTACAGAAAAAAATTCACACCCCAAGGTTTTTTGCTGCCTCTGTGCTGTGCCAGCAGTGCAGGGGCCCCTCTCACCTCTATCCAGCCTTT